CAATTTTGCCGCATATCAGACAACTTGAAAGTAGAATGTTTCGAGAACATTCAAACATTTATCTTGTGAGTATATGTTTCTGTTCTCTGTACCGTTTGATTGTGCACACAATTCATTTTCCTTTATTTCATACTGATAAAAAATAGATTATAAGTGTAAAACTTCGTAGTCACTGGAAAATGTCCCATACATCTCAGTCAGTGGACCATTGGTGTCACTTTCATCCCTGTCTTATGTACTGAATAATATTGGAGCTTCCTAACGACCAACATCTCGCCATTGCTAGTAACTGATAAATCAGTCCCTAGAAAGTGGAAGAGTTTGATGTGCATGAGCTCCTTCCGTTTCAAGGATAGTTAGACCTAATTATTAATCTTCATAAGATAAAATTAAAACTTGACTTGTAATTTCATGAAACGTCTTGAACGGAAATGTCAATGGATAATACACACATTGTACCCGAAAACACTACACATGAGACTCAAGTGACCTTCAACCAAATTGTAGGATCTCATGAGATTGTCTGTTTTACTATCGCCTGCAATGACGTTTTTAAAAATTTCTATAGATATTTCTGTTTCAATAGTAATTGTTACTGCTTTTTGAACTTTTGCTTTGATGTGATGTTCTTATAATCATTGGGTAAATGATATGTATTTGAATTTTTATTTATTACGGTAAATTTATCTGTTCATTATAGGTAAACTTTTAACTTGAGATATATCAGTGTAATGTAGGACGTTTTTTCGTCCTATTTGATTCTTATCAGTTTTATTTGTCTACTGTGACTTAAATTGAGGGATATTGCAATGTTTCATACATATGGCATTCGCATTATTCACAACGCGGTGCATTAGTTTGGCTAGATATTTGAGTCAATGAAGTTAGTAGTTGCATGCTCAGCTTTATATTTTATTTAAAAATATCTGCGCTGTTTTGGGTATTTAATATTCGACGAAGGTAACGGCGGCCTGCTTGAATATCTGGTTGACCTGTTTCTGCCACCTAACTATTTCAACAAGTTATCTGTTTTTTCATTTGTTTTAACTCATCATTATGTCTATTAATCGCATAGCCTATGCGGGCGCTTTTATGAAAAACCTGTGACCTTTCGCTGCACAAGTTACAAAAAGTACTATAAAAGACATCGTGGTCGTTGGCAATATGCATTAAAGAAAATGAAAATTAACCATACGTCCATTCCCGAGCTTCTAAATTCTAACTGCCGATCACTAACCAACAAAGTGGACTATCTGCGACTCCTACTATGTCAAAATATGTATCGTAATTGTGATGTCATCACAATTCAAGAATCTTGGTTAAATGATTTACAGGACGACTGCCTAGTATCACTATGTGATTTCAAAATTTATCGTCAGGATCGATCAAACAATAAAAAAAGGTGTGGTGGCGGTGTAGCTACGTTTGTAAACATAACGTGGTGTCAATCTTCGTTTGTGTGTTTTAAGTTTTTAAATGACTTTATTGACTGTATAACTCTAAGATGTCGCCCAAAACATCTGAATAAATACAAATATGTTTATGTCACCAATATCTACGTGACTCCAGACTGCACATCATCTGCTCTATCTGGTTTCGCTGATGGATTCACTGATTTCGCTGTTTCTGCCTTCAGCGATTCACTTTCAGTCGTGTGTGGTGATTTCAATTCATGTGACTGTAGCTTCCTTCCGTCACTAGGTCACCAAAATGTACTGGATTTTCCTACCCGTTTGGATGCTCATATAGACTTCGTTTAAATTAGTGATATAGGTATACATGCGACTCGTAAACATGCTCCATTGTCTATCTCGGATCACTGTACAATTCGTGTTCTACCTAAAGTATATGGAAAACATGGGAAAAGTACACTCTTACATCAAACCAAGAAAGTCAAATATAGGAATTACTCAGAAGAAAATATCCGAAATCTGAAGAACGTGTTTCATACGACTAACTGGGAATTATTTATAGATGACTCACTGCAAATCACCACTGATGTTATCACTTGTTACCTTAAATTCTGTTTTGATATTTGTTGTCCCACTGATACCATTTTTGTAAGTTTTGATCGACTGACATCTTCACAACCAAAACAACTACGGAGGGTGAAAGAAGGAATGTACAAGGAGAAAAACTCTAATGAAGTTCGTAAGCTAAATAGTCTGATAAACCTAGAGATTGGACGTCTCAACTCTATGTTTACTCAAAAACTCTTATCTTGCAAAAACTCTCCAAGTATGTGGAAATTCTTTAAAGAACTTACAGGTGACAGAAAGTTTAGAATTGATAACCAGCTGAATGTTAGTGACTTAAATAAGTCTTTTGTACGTCAGTCATCTGATGTAATGCTTCCTTCATCCATAGGTTTAAAGAATAGCCGTGCTCCTAGTTTCACTGAAACTGATGTCCGAAGATGTCTCTAGTCACTTAATTCATCCCGATGTTTAGGAACTGATGGTATCCCAAACCACCTTTGTTAAAAATGTGCTAACGTCCTATGTTATCCATTCATGACTATCTTTAACAGATCCTTCTCATCTAATCTCATACCGAAAATGTGGAGAAAGATGAAGACAATCCCTGTACCAAAGAAAGTATCTGGTGATAGGAATGTGAAATTTAGACCTGTTGCAATAACTTCACCCTTCCTCAAAACCATGGAAAAATTATTGATACTTCCACTTCAGCTTGCGATAAAAGAGCATATTGATCCATATCAGTTTGCTTACAGATGCAAAAGAAGCACCTTAGATGCTGTTGATCTTCTGCATCACAACATAGTGTTCAACTTAGAAAAGGGTAAGAAGTAAGTTCGATTCGCTTTTCTGGACTATAGTTCAGCTTTTGACTTTATATCAAGACAACATCTAATAACAAGCTAATCAGCGTCGACATTGGATAACCAACTGGCTATGTTCCTGCCTCTCTGGAAGGGAGCAGTACACTGTATTTGGAGGAAAGTGTTCAACGTCCCTACTGTCTCATGAAGGTGTACCACAAGAAGCTGTTCTTTCACCTCTTCTTTTCTCCTTTGTTCTGAATGATCTGCCATCTTCTACAGAAAACTCTTTTTGAAATATTCGGATTACCTCACTGTATGTATGTCGATTTCTACTTCTTTACATCCCACAGAAATAAATGAGTTTTTGTCTCTCATTGATTGTTGGTCTGTTGGTAATGGTCTCATACTTAATCCGTCTAAATGTCAAGTTGTTAGCTTTAGCATGAGACATGAACGATATCTAAACACCATTTTGAGATCCCATAATGCCTGTGCCATTGGAGACTCTTTGATATACACAGTGTCGAAGGTCAATTATCTTGGTGTTACTTTCCTCTGATCTCTCTTGATCTTCCCACGTTTTATTGTTATCGAAGAAGGTTTTCCGTCTGACTTACTACATAAAGAGATTGCATGTTCTTGAAATTACTCGTCATTTACTCTTAAAATTTGTCAGTTCTTGCATATTACATATTATTCTTCACTGTTCACCATTATCCATTCCCGGGCTTTTGAGAAAAGACTTTGCTGTATTGCGGAGAGTGCTGAAGGCAGGTAGTAAGATGAGTGGTGAATCGTTCGAGGTCATAATAAATATGGTTGTGGATAGACATCTAAAGTCATGCAAACTCCTGGCAGGTGTTATTTTATCAGATACTAACCACCCCCTTAGCTCATATCTTTCTCCTTGTATATCTTCTGGTAGAACGAGACGTAATTACATTAAAGTCCATGCACGCAAGCAAAAGTATAAAAGCTCTATAATACCTTACCTAGCAAATATACTCTGTGACGAACAGGTTGTTAGAGTTAACCTAGTCAATAACATGCATTCTTAACATGTCTTTAATTTGAAAGGTTGTAGAGTTTTTCGTTTTTTAGAGCTTTTTTTCTTTGTCACTGTCTGTTTTTGCTTAAGTAACTTGTTGAAATACCCTGTGCTGAGAATTCTATATTGTACCAAAATATAATACTGAATAAAGCCATTAGTAATAATAATAAAGGACGGTAAACTCATCGTCTTTTCACTCTAATTCGATAGCTGGACTATCTTCCTTGTTTGTCAGTAGTTTTGTTTAGGCCACCCAGGCATTTTAACTTAGAAAATGAATATAAAATGATGCTGGGCATGACATGATCATAGCACTGAACTTCAGGACCTATCTTCATTGTCTCATTATAGTGATAGCAGTGTAACAACTAGCATTTAATAAGTCTTTATTTATCGTGAATAACATTGTGCTGTGTAGCGTTTGGAAATTGGAAATGATGGAACGAATAAAGGTATGTGATTCCACTACTAAATAAAGTTGATACAAACCATCTTAGTAGTGTCAGAACAAAACTCACGTATTTATTTACTTCCTTATCTTCAGTAAGTATTGTATTACTATACTGAATGTTGATTGCTTTGTGTTTGAAAAAGGGAAACTTGCCCTTCGACTGTCCTATTACACTATCTGAACAAAAGCCTGTTCCAACTACTGATCTCACCCCTTCTATAGATAAAATGAGATGTGTGTACTGACACTAAAATAAATAAGTAATAGCCGGTAAAAAAGCGCAAAGGATATCATCATAAAAGGATGACTGTTTTCCCAATAAATTCTCGTCTTATTTTGAGCAAAGTGAAGTAGGTAATAGATGAAGCCATTTAGCAATTTAATAAGCTTTCAATAAAGCTTGTTTCGATCTATGAGGTGAGGAAGTGAAATGGAACATATGATTCGAATTTTGTAAAATATTGAAAATATGTTACCTTAATTCAAGTGCGCCTTATGTACGCAAATGGATAATGAAGATTAAAAAGTGAAATACTCACAAAATCATGAAAGATCATACAGTTGGATTTATTGTTAAATTGATTCTTAAATTTTTTTAATTTCATCATTACTGTCTGTTACTTGAACTATTAATAACCCGCGGTCTTTCGATTACTTAGTATGCACATATATCATGAGTTACTCTGGATTTTAATAAAGTCTCATTGACTGCTTAAATCTCGGTTTCAACTCATGTAAGTAAGATGTGTTCATTTCATTGATACCTTTAGCGTCTTGACATGTGTCAAGATAACTCAAAGTAACTCAAAACGTCAGGTTATATATATTGCTCGGTGTTTTTAGTTTAGTGTCTCTATGTGACTAACTTGGAACAATAATAAAACTTCTGCGTCACATGCGTTGAGAAAAAGGCCCTATGGCCATTAATTCACTCACGGATTATCATCATTCGGCTGGAATTTTCTTGTCGAAATATATATATTCATATACCTTTTGACACCATGTAAGATCATCTTTCAACTCTTTATTCTAGCTTATTTTGTATCTTGGTGTATATGAGGTTTTTGGACTTGTCCAAATATACATTTTATGTCTGCTGCAGTTGATTTATTTACTGTAAATCCATCTACCCATGGATGAATGAAGATCTCTGTTCAAACAATTGTTTCTTGATTTTCAATCTTGTACTCATGTGGCTCTTTTAACCTACATCCTTACTTTACAGTCTCCATATTGCGACCGAACACTTGACATCTTTGTAACATGGTGGTTCCTGGTCCTGACAATCTTACTGCTTTGGGACAAATTCATTTCTACATAAATCTAGTGACCTACATGTAACTGTCAAATGTACTAAGACTAGTGCGGCCAGATGTATAAGTTACTTTTTTCATAGGCTACCAAGACCCCATGGCGTACCTTGACACTGGGAGGCGAGCGGAGAAAAATCATTTGATTTAGGGTGACTGATCAAAAAGATGTTGTCTATCAAATCATTCTTATCACCTAGGTAACGCTTAATTTCCCTTATGCTATTTCGTATTTGAAATTGTTGTAATTAGGCTCAGTGTTAGCTTTAAAAATGCGGTTTTATCTTTTCTCCAGGTAGCCTATTCAATAAACAATTCCTTTACGACCCATGTGTTATTTTATGGACAAAAACGGTATACGGCATGGTATTCCTCTTTTTTTCAGTGTCTCGACAGTTAGATGTATGGCCGAAAATCCTTTCAAATTAACAAACGCGGCATATAGAGGAAAAATTAGCATTCTAAATAAAATTTTATTATTTGTTTGTATTCTATCCGTCAGAATTAGCACAAATGAGAAACAATTTTGATCAAAATAAAGTTTTGTCCCATCAGACTAGAAAAAAATGCATCAGAGGGAATGCGTGATATCCTAGTATTGATTTTGAAAATTAGGTTGAATCATATCCTCTGAACAATACTACGGAGAGTATGGATGTAACCGTACTTTTTTAACTTTGATATAATAAAAAAATGGTTCATGAATTATTAGTTGGTAGCCTCATGCAATAAATTGATGTACTTAGTTCGATAGCAATATAATTTAAGTCATTATGTACAGGGGACAGAACTTTCTCTGAATGCCTCATCTTCAGTTAAAGCAATTAAGTCCACTTCTTTTTTTAAACATTCATTAGATCTGTAGTTTGTTTCGTGATAAGATGTTATAGTGATAAAAATGAGCATAACAAGATATCTAACAAATTATTTTGATGTAAATGCTACATGAATTTGCAACTTTTTAGAATGTGAAATATGTTTGAATGTTTAGAAACATCATACGCTTTTCAATATTAATAGTCTGGTATAAATGTTTTTACAATCATCTGCTATTGGTTGGCTGAGTGCTGTCATCTCCTTGTACTTACGTTTTTCATCCTGTTTTTAGATACTTGAAAATAATCGTGTGGTTTTTGATCCACAAGAACGTTTTTAAGGCATAGGTAGTTTTTCATACCCAAACGAGTTGCTTCAATCGTGTTTTCTAACTTTTCACTACGTTATGCACTTTAAGATTTTCTACCACGAACTGCGGATATCATAGGGCTATTAAAAAAACTTAATTGCTGTAGATTTCACGTTGTTTACGTCATTAGATTTGGGAGCTTCAAACTAAATTACTGATGCTTTCAATATGAAATTAGCTTTTTATCACTATTCCAAACTTATAGAAACTGAATGACTGTTTCGTTTGAGTCTAATACTTCTCATTAAGTATTATTATTAGCTATATAGTTCAAAATGTATCAAGGCCTGAACAAGGTGGTTAGTTAAATTTATGTGTATTTTCGTATTTGCAAGATTTCGTGCACTGTCAGTTGTTGCCAGACAAAGATTATAAGCATTTCATAGTTATTGGTAGCAAGGTCAAAGACAATGTTGAATTATTATCGGCAAGATTAGGTGAACAATAAGTACAAAATATTGTTTCTCTACTAATAATAGTTACTTTAATGCATTATTTTTGAAAGAGGATATTATTTTTACACGAAATTCAGATGTATATCTATTCTACATTTATTATTATTATTAATATGAGTAAATAATAAGTTTATTAACCGATAGTAGCAAGTTAATTTGTTTCACTAGACGTTTCAAAATAAACTATTGTATTTTTTTCCGTAAGGCCATTGTAAAGTAATTATTTTTTATAATTCCAGACTATATTGTGAAGAAAGTCGTTTAATGATGCTGTTCCTCAACGGAAAATGTTTCAGATTTAAATAGTTACTGAATGCAAAGCATAGTTTAGTAATATAAAGTATTTTTGTGATGCCTAATTAATTAATAATCTTAGAAATGAGATGTGAATTTAGATTAAAAAAATGACTTCAATTATTTTGTTCATCGTAGAAGTTCTGTGAAAGATTATCAGAACATAAGCAAGTAGTCTAAGACTATTTTATTATAAATCAAGACAGGTGAACTTTGCACATCCACAAACTCACATACGACTTTAAACACCAGATGATCATTTTCTATAGTAAGGATGGGACTGAAACGAGATCCAGTGGTTCATACGACTCGAGTTGGGTTTTATACCTTAATTATATTCATTTTATTGTTTCATTGTCAACAGTGATCAACATGACCGATCACTTTTACTTTAGAATTTTGTGAAACTCTCGAAATCAGTTGGTGGTGAGCATAAAACTAATTACTTTGGTGTTACTTTGAGTTAGAGGGTTTCGTCTAGTTTAAAAAATAGGTCTTTCTCAAAAATTGACATTAATTGTCCATGAATTTCCTAATTTACAATGCTTCTTTAGTTTATAACAATAAATAAATAATTATTATTTGGTATTCCTATTTTTCTTCACCATATAATCCATTGATTTCCACTTAAAAAATTTCTGTACGGTAACTTGCACAAATATATTTAGAAAAACAACTTCGTCAAGAAAAAAACGATTTGAAATGGAACTTTGAAACAAAATAGTGAAAAAAACTAATGATGATGTTTTAAGCAGATGAAAAATGAATTTGTTTGCTTCCAGATGATTATTTCTAAGATAATTTGTGTGAAATATGTTATCACTGATTCAGAGCGTCTTATACACACAAATTATTCTTGTCAATGTGTCCAACCAATAAATGTAGGAACACATGATAGCTTAGAGTACTCTGGATTTACTAATATATATATTAGACGATTTCCGCTTAAATTTGTATCTTTAATTTTCAGCGATTTATTAAAATGGTGATTTGTGAATCTTTCAATATTTACTTATCATTCATTTCTATATTCTGGTCATTATTATTTTCGCCACATATCTATGGTTATTTAATTGGAGCCGGAATATATGACATAACTGGCCCAATAACCGACATCAATATGGTAAGAATAGATTAATTGGTACTTTATTATCATCCGAGTTTATTATAAATCATATTATATTTCTAATATAAGCTGTATTTGCCTTTGTGAAATGAGTAAAATAAAAAAGTTGAGAGGTTAAAATCATTTTGATAAATTGATGAAATCCCGATAAGTCCGTTCAAGGAAAATTCAATCATTTCAAGGACAATTTTTAGCCTAAAATTGATATCGGCTTCAGCGTTGTTAGAAACTAGAAAACACTGAACATATATCTCTAAATTGTTTGTGATTCATGAGTACTAATCTCTCTAGATTCTACATTAGATCAGATTTAGTGATACAAGCAGCTCAGTACTGTGAATTTACTGAATATTAATCGGATGTTTAGCGTTTTACAGTATTAACCCATTCAGTCTATAGTTTAACCATTATCTGTAGAGATTTTCTAGGCTTAAAAAGAGTGACTAAATCCACAGATAACGTCTGAATGTTCAAATTTAAGCAGTGTATGAGACCCTGGAAAGTCATCTACTTATATGAATCATTTATTTAAATTGAAGAATATGTACATTACAGTCATGGCACTAGTAAAATACTGATATCATTCAGTCGTTAACAATTCACTGTTTTAATGACAATATTGAGTTACAGAACCAAGTTTATGTTTAACTCGTTGATCTGGATAGAAATCAGAACCCGAAATTTCCAGTTTTGATCACATAACGAACTAGTAGATGACCACTACGGAAGAGTCCCGTACTAGGAAGTCAGAATCATCTTGTGCTTCCTAATTCGCAGATTGAGAATTCCATGCTATTAAAAATAGATATTGAGTGATATACTATATTAAAAGAAATGTTTCAATAATTTTCTCTTTCACTTAAAATACAAGCTTAATTAATTATCACGAATTATATTGTTCTTTAATGATATAATGATAGTAATACAAAGAAGATAGCCTTGGATATTCGTATAAAGAGGAATTTCTAGCATTTTGTTTTCACTTGTTTCTAGATCATTATATCTTTATTTTTAAAAAACAAGTTTACCACAATCCAATCATCAACTTGTTACTGATCACAATCAATTACTCTTAACTTTATAAGCATATTCTATGATTGTTACTTCTCTCTCTTTTCTTTTTATCAAATATGAATTATATTTATAATCTACCTTGACGTGGTGGTCGGGCTTGCCTATCGTGATGACCCAACCGAGCTATACTAGCTGGAACAACCGTTCCTCAAGGTCCTACCATGTCAGACAGGTCGCTTGAAGAGCGGTAAGACTAAAAGCAACAAACCCAAGGTCCGAAGGCGAAGTCGTACTGCTGACTGTACAGAGGTGTGACAGCAGTAAGGTGTTTCCTTCAGACAACCAGCATGACAGCGATGCTGCCTTCTTACAAGAAGGGGTGGGGTTAGGAAAGGTCGACCCTAAAAGTGCACACCTCGCCTTATCCCACGGATATCCGTCTCCGGCGGTAAGGTCTCAACAAGTACGGAGCTAACACAAAAATTACCCATAACAAGGTGGTGTGTGACCGACCTCAAGCAGTTGTCCCTTGGGCACTGCGGTCACGCTTCCAGGTCACTAAGACCACTTCTAATCCGATTTCCTTTTCAGGTACCTCCAGAACAACCCTTCCACGGTGTGGGCAACCGGGAAGTGATAACCGCCCTCATACTTCTAACAGCACTCAAGACCACTGTATTCATAATCAACCTCCCTCTCCAATTCCTATTATTCCTCCTACATCGACTTTCAACTCTATATTTCCTCTCTCGGCTTCCACCTCAAGTGTCACCGTAACCAACGATTCTAGTGCGCAAAACACTGTCCCAGGTCTACTGAAACCTCGCTCCAAACTACACATTGGAGCCTTCAACGTACGCACCCTATGTCAAACCGGTCAGCAGGCTTCCTTGGCTAAAACCCTAGAGTCTCTTTCCATTGATGTATGCTGTGTCTCCGAAACACGCATACAGGATTCCAGTGTGGTAATTCACTTGACCTCACCTCGGCAAGACAGAGAGCCAACGAGATACACCCTTCGTGTGTCTGGTGACCCGATGGCCAGTTCTCGTGGACTGGCAGGTGTAGGCATAGCACTAAGCATGAGGGCCGAACAAGCACTGCTAGAGTGGATCCCCGTCAACAGTCGTCTATGTGCTGTTCGGCTGAACGGCTACGTAAGAACTCGGAAGGATAGGGACACACGTCGTTGCCTTTTTGTCGTTTCTGCCTACGCTCCCACTGACTGCAGCTCAGATGAAGTGAAAGATGAATTTTACAGAAAGCTGTCCGAACTTCTGCAGAAAGCTAAACGCTCAGACATAGTACTCGTAGCAGGTGATTTTAATGCTCAGATAGGCAGTTTAAACCAAACAGAAAGGCATTTAGGTGGCGTCGGTGTATACACTCTCTGTCTTCTCTTAAACTAAGAGATTAAGATCACTTCACATCTTTCTTTCTACGAACTAATTCTTTCTTCCTATACTATATCCTTATTGCAATCTTTCTCCTATATATTACCACCTTTGACCTAACCACTCCTATGAATCCAGTGTTCATCTTGCTGTGCTAATGAGGTATGGCAACCTGGGCCGATGCATACATGTGCCTGGTCCTACGTTGTAGCTGACTGACTGGACTGACTAGGTGGATATTTTAGTATTCCGACACAGCGAACAGATAATGGTGATCGTCTGCTGCAGCTATGCTCAGACAATCGTTTATTTTTAGCAAACACAAATTTTAAGCATAAGGAGAGACATCGTCTAACATGGCGACCCCCTACACCAAACCAACGATGGACTCAAATAGACCATATTGCCATCAGTCATCGTTGGAGAGGGTCGGTAGAAGATTGTCGCTCATTCTGGAGTACCTGCTTGGACTCCGACCATGCCCTAATACGGGCACGCATCTGCTTGCGCCTCACTGGACGCAAAAAAGCCACATTAAAAAGACCCGTTAGAACTGAGTTGAGTAACGAGAAAACCAAAAGTAGGTTCCAGGAACAACTGAGGTCACACTTAGGTAGTTGTGAAGACGAGGCTGACCCAGATGTTGCTTGGAAGGGCATACAAGCAGCTGTGGAAACAGCAGTGACATCTATTAGTGACTTAAACCACAGAGTTACAAGGAACCAGTGGATTTCTTCAAGGTCTGTCACACTGATGGATTCTCGCAAACTCGTCCCATCAGGTTCTGAACATGATGAAGAGCGTAAACAAATCAGATCTAGGTTAAGAAAAAGTCTAAGGAACGACCGTGAGCAGTGGTGGGTAACGAAAGCAAAAGAGATGGAAAAGGCGGCGACTATAGGGAACACAAGACAGCTTTACAGACTAATAAAAGAAACTGGAATTAATAAGTCAAGTGTAAGTGAGATTATTTCGGAAAAAGATGATACTCTCATCTGCTCCCAGTCCAGACGTTTAGAACGATGGGCGGAACATTTTAGAGAACAGTTCAGCTGGCCTTCAGCTACTCTACAACTACCCTCCATTCCCAGACAAGTGAATGGAACATTGAAGTAGGTCCCCCAACTCTTGCTGAAGTTGAGAAGGCTATAGTTAATCTGAAACGAGGAAGGGCAGCTGGTCCAGATGGATTGGCTCCAGAGGTCTTTAAGGATGGTGGTCCAATTTTAGCGATTAGGTTGACTAATATTTTAGCTAAGATCTGGGAGTTAGACGTTATCCCATCTGACTGGTCGCAATCACTTATCGTCCCAATATATAAGAAAGGGTCAAAATCATCCTGTGACAACCACAGAGGGATTAGTTTAACAAACATAGTATCTAAAATACTGGCCTCGATAATTATCAAACGCCTAACTAAGACTCGTGAACTACAAACACGAGAGAACCAAGCTGGCTTTAGACCTGGTCGTGGCTGCATCGACCACATATTCACCATTCGTCAGGTTCTAGAACACAGGCATACCTATCGGCGTCCGACGATGGTGGTCTTTCTTGACTTAAAAGCAGCATTTGACTCTGTAGACCGCGAGACTCTGTGGCAGTGTCTGTCATTGAAAGGCGTACCTCAGAAGTACATAAACCTTGTGAAGGCTCTTTACTCGAACACTACTAGTCGAGTCAGGGCTTATGGCGAACTGTCATCTACCTTTGCAACCTCAAGTGGTGTCCGTCAAGGCTGCCCACTTTCTCCATTTTTGTTTAACTTCATCATAGACCTATTGATGGAAATAACACTCTCGTCGACTGAATTCTCGGGTATTGATCTCCTTCCAGGAGGTCCACTTATCGACTTAGAATATGCAGATGACATAGTCCTGTTTGGTGAAGACGCTGACAAAATGCAGAGTCTTCTGGTAGCACTAAGCAACAATGCCAGAATGTTTGGGATGCGCTTCTCTCCCTCTAAATGCAAGTTGTTGCTTCAGGACTGGTCTGCGTCAACACCTGAACTAAGGATAGGGAGTGAAGTAGTCGAACGCGTTGACAACTTCACTTATCTTGGAAGTCTGATCAGCCCTAATGGGTTGGTGTCTGACGAAATCTCAGCACGGATTCGTAAAGCTCGTTTGGCTTTTGCCAACTTACGTCACCTTTGGCGGAGGCGAGATATCCGTCTATCAATAAAAGGACGAGTATACTGCGCGGCAGTCCGTTCTGTTTTAATTTACGGCAGCGAAACATGGCCTTAAGAGTAGAAGACACCCGTAAGCTACTAGTATTTGACCACAGATGCCTTAGAAATATTGCTGGCATCTGCTGGGATCACCGGGTAAGTAATAGTGAGGTTAGACGCAGGGTATTAGGGAATGATGGTAAATCAGTTGATGAGGTTATGAATCTTCATCGACTGAGATGGTTGGGCCACGTATTACGTATGCCTGAACACCGATTACCACGACGTGCAATGCTAACCGGTGTAGGGGATGGTTGGAAGAAAGTTAGGGGCGGCCAAACCAAAACGTGGCATCAGTGCCTGAAGTCACTAACTTCTAGTCTGAGCCATGTTGGTAGATGCAGACTACTTGGTTGGGGTCCGCGTGACTTTCGTAACCAATGGTTGGAGACCCTTGGTGACATGGCTCAGAATCGATCACAATGGCGTCGGTGTATACACTCTCTGTCTTCTCTTAAACTAAGAGATTAAGATCACTTCACATCTTTCTTTCTACGAACTAATTCTTTCTTCCTATACTATATCCTTATTGCAATCTTTCTCCTATATATTACCACCTTTGACCTAACCACTCCTATGAATCCGGTGTTCATCTTGCTGTGCTAATGAGGTATGGCAACCTGGGCCGATGCATACATGTGCCTGGTCCTACGTTGTAGCTGACTGACTGACTGATAATCAAGTATGTTTTTGTTTTAATAGAAGACACTATTTATTTGTAAAAAAATCATTAATGAGTTTAATGAAAATTCTGAGAATATAGGTGTATGAAGTTAGAAGATAATTTCATCTATTGTATAGTTCGTTTACATAATAACTTCGACAGAATCAAGAATACAATGTAGATTTAAATGCTACTGGGTCATCTTTCATATCTGAAAACTATTTCATTTATTATTATGGTTATCATTATTATTATTGTGATTATTACTAATATTTCTCTCCTATTTACCTTCTTTTTTTTAGATGGGCTATGGTAATATGAAACAAAATGATAATGGACTTCATTTAAGATTATTTAGTCGTGCATTTATTATTCAAGAGAATTCTAGTTCACAACCAATTGTCATTGTTATAATAGATGCTGGTATGGTATCACAAGCCGTTAAAATTAAAGTATGTCTATATATATATAATAAATTTTATAAAAAATAATGAATATTGGAAATCAGTACATTGTGATTAATTTGGCTCAAATTGTAAAAGTTTGTTTTCGAACCTTTTGCTGATATTTAGAACCTATAGGACAAAGTAGTAGACATAATAGTTTTATAGACAGCGCGTCAGCATTCGAAGCAAAAGATGCTAAAGATAAATTTCAGTATAAATATCAACACTGGAATGAAAGCACATTTCGATAGTGAGTTTTATATAGGATTCAAAAAAGATTTCTTAGTTTCTACAACTAGTCATGTACCAAATGTTATAAAACAATCATTTGTTTATATTGATTTGAAACGGTTATAGTCAAAAAATTTTCTCAAATAATTGATTATAATAATTTTAAGTCAGAAACATATTTTTACAATGTTAACCAGTAAACTAGATTCCCTTTGTTAATTTTTATAGGATAGCACGGTTTGAATAGAGTAATCTGGACTGTTTTTTTATTTCGTTAAGTATAAGTTAACTATTTACAATCTGTTTTATGTAAATACCAAATTTAGATTAGATAATTTGTTAATGTAAAACTGTTCTTCATTACATTGGTATTTCCATTTGTAAGTAACTATAATGACAATCTAACAAAATCAAATGAATTCACATTATTCTATTCTTTTGAGTTTATCGAATGTTTAATCACTTAGATTGAAAATATAGTTAATTTTCTCGGTCAATGGATTACTTTTTGGATAAATAAAGATGAGAAAAATAAATTCATTTAAATTTAATTTTCATAGTATTCTTAATCCTATCCTGTATGCTTTCTTCAAATGACTAATTTTGTACTTTTTGCTTTAGTAATTGGAAAATTATGTAAAAATGCTTCTTCGGCATTATTATGATAATCTTAATATTGTAGAAAATGATCTAGAGCATTTTTAACTTAAGGAGGTTGTGACAATTGTTGAATTTCATATTGTACTTCACGAACTGCTCCTAGTTACTTACTTACGCCTGTTACTCCTCGTAAAGGTGCAAAGGCCACCCATCAGCTTGAAAGTCCTAGGTTGGATGCCTGGTGGAACCATGGGTTCACACCGCTGTAGAGTTTCATACCAGCATGAGACAGCCATTCAAATCTCTCTGGTTTTCACTGATTGTCTAACTAGAATGCTTCCGCGCTGTAAACCATAGGGTATCTTACTTGTTGCTATACAACAAAAAATTAAAAGTTTTTTGGTCTAGTTTACTGACCAGTTATTTTTAAAGTTCTATATCATTAGTTTTGGGACCTCCTAGGAATTTCCAATATAATCGACCTATTTCTACCGTGTTATATTTTAGATTGAGATGTGATCTTTTCTCATTTGGAATAAATACATATTTCCCTACTATTTATTGCTTTGTTGGCTGGATCACTTAATATTTTGACGTATGTTCCCCCAATGAACAGATACTCCATACCGGTTCCTCGGAGACATAGATCCTTTTTAAATCTTCAAACTTTATAAATGCTAACATTGCAATATAAGCAATTTTCGAAATACATTCACTACATACAACATAGCAATGAAATTGTAAGCGATTATCGAAAAGTTGTCATTAAAAAATAATATTCAAATCAGTTCCTTATCATTTATTTAATTATCAACACTCATTTAAATATTCAATTTTTGAACTGTGTGTAAAACCACAATATTATCTGTAGTAGATCATTCTCAAATTATAGAGCTTTATTTTTTAAAATAATACTATGCCCTACAATCCGTCACTTATTTGCTTCGAGTTTCTGGGTTAGTAATTTCAATCATGAATAAAAGTCCCAGATTAAGCTGTAACCTAGAAAGTTATAGAATCACAAGTGAAGTCACCGATAAAATTGAATAAAGGATCCAAATGTACTGCAAGTGAATTGAAGTTAAAAACATAAATCATTGAGTTTTGACTGAGCAACTGAATGGTATCATGCTCTAAGTAAGATATGTTAGCTATTAGTTCGATTCTGTAAGAGGAAGGGTCACTGTGTTGAATTTTCAAATCAAGATAATAATACCGTTCAGTACTCACTAATTTTCTATAGGGACTCACCTAGCACTAATTGATGATGAAAATCGTTTTTATATTTCGTACTTTTTAATCTGTCCGTTTATTTTCACATTGATTTTAACCATTTCAATGAATCATTTGTCTCTTTCTCAAACAAAAAATATCGATTTTAGGTCATCGATAATTTGAAAAGTCGATACGATAATGGGTTATTCACACATCAAAATGTTTTAATTAGTGCAACACATACTCATTCCGGTCCTGCTGGTTATTTGCAATATGTTCTATATTCATTTACGTCTCTTGGATACGTTCCTGAAACATTTCAACCATTAGTTGAAGGAATTGTTAAGGTATATAAACAATACTTTTATCTTTAATCATATGTAGGGGGTTGTGGAGATTGTAGTAAGTTCATGGTTGAATTCGTGAGCCGATTAAAGCTAGACCACCATTGTAAACCTGGAATCAATGGACGGTCGTTGCGTTCTAGTATGGGACTCAGCAGTGCGCATCCACGATCCCGCACGCGAGACTCAAATTCAGGACTTTTGATCTCGCGCGCGAACGCTGAACCTGTAGACCACTGAGCCAGCATCTAACGGTGTTAATGTCTAACTTCAACTAATCCAAGATTTTGCGCCACCGTCCATCATTGCCTTCAGTGAGTAAATGCCTCACAAACAAATATCTTTTTAAGAGCTATCTTTAAACGTCTGATACAATAATGTCTTATCTATTAATTGATGAGGATAATTACTTAAGTTGATTGAAGACGGTCGTCAAAAAGCCTAGGTAGAGTTAGGCTTCGTGCTTGTTGATTTCCATCAGTACGAGATATCTGTAGTTTCGTTGAGAGTGATGCTCCCCATGGATTCAACTCGCACAGGGAATATTACTTCTTTTATGAATGCAGGTGTGTTTTACTAACACATGCCAGCTAGCACAAAACCTCGATGTAGAGGTTCCTTATAATTGTTCTCAGTCACCCAGTAGTCATGCAAAGTTCACATGGTTCTAAGTCGCTTAGACTGGTAAACACGTTACAACTGAATCAACGTAATTTAATTAGCACTAAGGACTAGGTCATTATGACAGTGATTGATACTCAGTGGTCAATCGATGTACATAATTATTATGTTTGCGTAACACGTTTGATAGAGCCCATGAACATAAATGAAATAAATGTACACTTCTTACATAACCGACTGAGTAATTTTTGTATTGTATTGTATCATCATGTTATTATACTAGAGTTTTAAGTTGTTAAGAAATATCAGCTCAAACCTATGAAATTATCAAGACAAAAGTACTTGAAAAATAAAAGTAGTAAAGGTATCAGTGATAAATAAAACATTAGGCATAGAAAATATAACTCGCGAAACAAAAAGGTATAGTTTTAAAATCCAAGATCTAAGGAAAAGCAAAGAGTGAATGGATTTAAGCCATGTCACCCAACATTGATTGTGTACAACGCAATCAAGTACTTTGCAACCGCATATACTGCTCAAGCAACGTGTATAGTATTTATTGGATATCAGTTGTTATTAATGAACTTGCAAATTTATGTTTTTTTTAATATTCAGAAATATGTTGAATCCACATATAAATCATAAGGAGAATCGTTGATTTATTATCGTGTTTAGTAAAATCATTTCTCAATAAGTTCCATGTCGGCTGATTCATGTACCCAGTGAGACATTAGAATCAGAATCATAGTTGAAGTCATCTATGACTTTAACTATATTGTCGAAATAAGGCCCAATATAAGGCCTAGAAACATTAAAATGCATCTAACCGTACTTGTGAGATCGCTATCATGATCATTAGTTTCATCCCAAATAGAAAGAAATTCTCTTTCTGGGTTCCATCACTAGCGACCACAACTCAAATGTAGCAAAGTGAAGATATTATTTTTAAAATTATATTATGAAAACTTTTATTTACTTGTTTGTTTGATGTAATGCAATTTTAAACTAAAGCAATTGAAATTTGTGGCCTATATTTACATTTTATTCGGGTGGATTTTTTTTCAGAGTATTGATTCAGCTTATTCTAATATGAAAGAAGGAAAAATATTAAAAGCTGAAGGAGATTTACATAATGCTAGTATCAACCGTAGTCCAGCGGCTTATTTAAAGAATCCAGTAGAAGAACAAGCTCAGTGAGTTTCCAATACTTTATAGTGTGTAACGGCTTCTCGTTTATGACTAGACTCCATTAGTTAGCCATGCGTTGCATTCATTATAATTGGGCTAGAATTGGTACTATAATTTTAATTAATCGTAATAAACAAAATAACTAGGTCAGTTAGAATCTTCTCTCTTTCGATTTTAGTTATTAACTATCGACCGAACTATATCATGATCTGATTGGCTGGATAAGTAAACATATCATATTTTATAATTTACAGAGTTTGATCACCACTGAAGGCTAGCGGAACGGAATGTCAATTTTTAGGAAAAATATTGGGAAATAAAAACCCTAATAATATTTTTATTGATTCAATGATATAATTTTGTCCGTTTGTGTGTGACTTATCTTCGTCATTGTTACAAATCTATCTTTCAGGTAACTGTCGATAAACACTTAAACTAAACAAGGTGGCTTGTTTTGATTGTCATTATCTACATAAGCTTACGTGCAGAACATATCATCTCCATCGAATCAATCAGTTTATATAGCTTACAATGTGAAGGTTAACTCATTTAGATCTTACCAACACTTTTATATGTCGGAGTAGGTAATACTATTCACCAGTTTAAGCTTTGCTAGATGAAGCGACAATGAAGCCACTTATTAAATCATAATAGGTTTATGCAATGAAATACTGATACAGTATAATTACTCTGTGAACGATCAATTCCAAGTAATTTGAATTTAATATTTTGAGACATTGAAAAATCACGATTCGACCTAAGTAAGATCACCATTGAAGATCTATGAGAATTGGATGGCCGGTTGGCATGCGAGATCTTCAACGCGCACTTTTGAGGAGTCTCATACTAGGACCAAAAATACGATCCAATGCTTTCAGGTTATCAATGATGGTCTAACTCAGATCAGTTCGTGATTTTAACTGTGAAAATACTACAGTCTCCACAAACCCCCATATTGATAACATATTAAATTAATGCAAAATGAATAAACGGCAATAATAGCGTCTAAAAAATGTTAATTGATTTTTATTTCTATCATAGAGTATAGATAATCTATGATAAATATATCAATTTCTTATATCATTCAAGAAAGAACATGCATAAACACTTCTAAGAAAAGGAAGCGGTCTTCTTCTTATCATCTTCTAAACATCGAATATTAAAGTCGCTTTTATTCAATTGTAAAAGTTACAGTTAATGAAGCAATAATAATAATAATGAGATTTTCCGTAATATAAAATATTGAGTAGTATATTTATTTTATTTCAACTCATTTGGTGACATATCATTGAAAGGTTTTCATATCCTAGTTAATGATGATCTCATTTAATAACATCTAACATTTTATGAGTAAAGATTATTTGTAAATAATAAAAAAAATTAATAACTAATGACTAATAATTATCATTTCTATCAAGTGTGATATATTTCTTTTATTATTTCAGTTTAGTTGATATAGTTATTAGAAAAAGAATAGGAAGCGTTGTATAACTACGTTTATTAGATGTGATAAAAAAGATTTATTATTTATTTATTTGAACACACGAGGGCACAAGATACATATGCGCCACACAAATCTCATTTGATTTACGTGAGGGCTGTTATACTGCCCGGGTGCCAAAACCGAAGCAGATGGTTTTCTTAAGGGACCACACCCGGAGCCTTCGACCTAAAGGTCTGATCCACAAGGCAGTGGAGTAACGTAAAGAGATGCAGTCTCATGGTAGCTGGTGACCAATAATTGGTTCATACGCCATTTGTTCCCTCAGGATACTGAAGCCCATGTGCACCAGTGGTTTGGAATCAGGGTTTTCCGAATTCCCTAGGTGGACTCTCCGCGTCCATCAACCCGGATAAAGCGCCGGACATTCACTTTTCGTCCTCTCAATTTCGTAAACAACACCCGTGGTGAGAGGAGGCGGTGAGTAGGACTTCTCTGATAGAAGCTATATACGCGTGGTCATGTGAGAACATTTTTCGAGGGAGAGCGGACTCTCACCACTCTCGGCCGTATCAGGGCATTTGAGGGCTGATAAAAAGAAATTTCGATAGTTAGTATAATGTTAAACAAATTATTTTATTTCAATTTACACTTTATATTAACCCAGCTCTTTTATTAAATATCAGAAAGTACTGTAGGTGAATAATTTTAGAATTATACAATACATTCTATCGATATAAGTTTCACTGACCGGTGAAATTGTTAAACGTATATCACATATGATCTTTAAAAATTATGTTATCCACATATTAAGTAATTGATAATATTAACCAAAATAACAGTAAAAGGAAAAAAAACAATAATTTGTTATTGATATATTAAGTCCTGATATTGATTTATTTTATGTTACCATTTGTTTGTTTGATTTGCAATCCAACATAAAATGTCTTCGTTTGGAATTCTTATAATATTCTTAGATAATCATTAGAAATCAAAGATAATATAGTCTTAAATGTATCATATTAATAATTATATTCTCTTGAATATTAGTAAATCAGTAATATGTCGTTTTCAGAATAAATATTTTTTTATTTTTTGTTTATAAAACATATTTTAATTGATGTATTAAATTTTGTCAATATATTGAAGATATTTATTCTTTTTAAATGTAAAAACAAATTCTATGATAATTTTTAACATAATTAATTCATAATTTGTACATAAATTTTGTTTAAAATGAAATCAAAATTGTTTCTCAGACTGAATAGAAAATCAGTTACTAATCAACCTATTACAACTTCTTATTTTAATGTTTACAGATATCTTACATATATTACTCGTCATCTCTAACTCAGATTGATTTCTCATAGTGAGAACATACTTTACTGAGATGATTTCAAGTACTGTTTTCAGTTTTTGGTTGGCCACACAATAAAAAGATACTTCTTGAGGTGTCTGTAAAAGAAACTCGATTGATAGTGTTTGTGGTAACTTGGGAAGTTAACAACTTCTTGAGGCTGGTCATACATAATTATTTTCGAATAGTTTCGGATATGTTAACTTTGTAGTTAAAACATCAGCAAATTAAATCATTAGGACAAGGTGAGGCATTGTATTTTCAGGGCTCACCTCTTATAAATTCTTTCCATCTTTGGAAGATAGCATCTTGAAATATATTGTTTGGCTTGGGCTTAACAGCTAATTGATGTCACATTTAAATACGGTTGGCAGTACGAATTCACGTTCGATCACAATTTTGTTATTTTCGGTGATATCACTCCCTAACCGACCTGGCTGTTGTGATAGAGTCTAAAAAACAAACATACCAGTCAATACAGCTCAACTGGGTCATCATGATAGAGAAACTCAACCACCATGACAAGATAGCAGTTATAAATAAAACTACGTTGAATCATTCAGTTATTTATTCTTTCGGTTATAGATTCTTTTAATTTCTAAACGTTTGTTATTATTAAGAGCTGAGATATTCAGTCTCTGTCTTGGTTTATAAACTTTGAACCGGGTACCTTGATACTCTGTTCATCATGTGTATTAACTCTTGGATATCATTGGTTCTGTATAAGAAGTCTGAAAATAAAAGGAAACACATGTTTTACATTTCACTTTGACGCATTATTACAAGAATGTATTCTTAGACTATTTTTTGATCTTTTTTTTTATAAAAAAAAAACATTTTCTTGTAGGTATGATGAAAATATAGATAAAAATATGATTTTATTAAAATTTGTTACAATGAATAATACACCAATCGGAATGATCAATTGGTTTGCTGTACATCCAGTCAGTATGAATTCTACGAATACTTTAGTTAGCAGTGATAATAAAGGATTAGCATCAATTTTATTTGAACAAAAAATGAATCATAATCAAATGTTAGGAAAAGTTAGTCATTTCCATGGTGATTATTTTTCTGTCTAAATATTTTCCATTAAATAATATTAAATAAACTATTATTCATATTAATTTTTATTTTAACAGGTTAGTAAATATTTTTCTTAACTAGTAGTATAATTTTTTATGCAATATTTTTCAATAAAATAATTTGAGTAACTTTAAACTTTTACAATAAAGTAAACTGTTTTCACACAAGTTAGCTGTGTTTTTTTAAGTTTTCTGATAATCTGATATTTATAATTTCATTGTTCGCATTATAAACTATTCCTAGATAGATAACTACTAAAAACTGAGAATCATTGGATAACCACTTGATTCTTGTATAAAATTTCGACTGTATTGAATCATGATTGTACTATGGACCGAACCCAGGAAACCCTAGTCATATCAAGCCTTTATTTATTTGTCTTTTTAATGTTAAGGAAAATATAATGTTTTTGGTTTAAATTTTGAAAAAAATTAGATAATTTATCTCTCTTTTATTCAGCTGATTAAGTTGTTAAGTGAATTTTTGTTTTTCATTTATTTTACAATTACTCAAAATATCTGAATTCATTTACAAAAAAATTAGATGAAGACATATGTGGAAATTATATTTGAAATAATCTCAATGATTGGAATTTAAATAATTACATCGTTTCGTCCAGCAAACTTGTCTAAACTTCTTTAGGGTAATAATTAAAATCAAAATTAGCAATGAAATATATAGTATTCAGTGATCAAATGAAATTTTTACTATGCTTATCCACTCATATTTAGATGTTGATTTCAGTATGGCGGATAACTTAGGTCAGTCATGTGAAAAGCTCACAATGTAAAAATAAATGAATGAATGAAATTTGTGTGTATGTGTAAGATTGAGTTATTAATAGTTGATACTAGGTATAATTTACTCTTATATGAAGTGAAAATAAAAACAAAAGAGCAAGTTGAATGTTGAAATCGTTTTTGAATCGTGGATGCGCATGTAAAATAGGAATCATCGAATACATAATTGTATTGCTAAAATATCCCAGATTAATTTTTTTTCAGAATAACGATATATGTGAAATAATCAGGTTGGATAGAGAAAGGGTCCAATTAATTTTCAATGGACAACTGTCAATTAGTTGCAAGTTGAATACCATCCTTTCTGTTCAGGCTGTTTGTATTAGTCCATATATACAGCGCTTCTGCTGTCGAGTTTTCTTTATGTGTGACAAAACTTTTCTGAAGTATTTTGGTACCTTCAGGATTGATCTTGTGCCCTGTTTCTAAAGCATGTAACGCTATCGTCAGCCTATTCTCAAGAATCCTCAGATATAATATGAACCATAATGAAGAGAACAAATTTTGCTAATAACTCTTCTTTAGATTGATCATATTGATATCGATAAGTAACTGCTGAGTGTAAATAATTTCATTAAATACAGACAATCCATTAAAGATTAAATACGATGATGTTAAATCAACTTATCTGATTAGCTAGGTTCAGATTCCCTAATGGAGAGTACTTTCCATTAGATCTACCGATGTATCCTACTATTTATTGTCAACAAACATAGAACACTTATCAAGTAATAATTCCTCATAATTACTTCCAGTTATCAAATAATTCCAAAAACCTTTTTCAGCACAAAAAAGGATAGTAAATAATTCAATTTTTTAGAATTTCATTACCCTATAATTACCTATATAAACATATAACATATTTTAAATTTGAGATCATGAACCGATCAATGTTAGATTACCATTGAAAACCTGAAAGCACTGGATACCCTTTTCATCCTATTATTGGACTCTTCAGTAGTGCGTATCAACGATCCCACATGCGGGGCTCGAACCCAGGACCTTTGATCTCGAGCGCGAACACTTAACCGATATTCGACGTTGTTAATGTCTAACTTCAACCAATCTAATTTATGATATCAAATTAAACTCAACAATCTTCACAACCCTATACTGATGTATAACATTTACCTGATTTTCTATAAAATTGTAGTTTTTCATATATTATACTGTTACGTCTTTATATAATTATTTTGAAGATTACCTTTCATTGACTATATTTATTCAAAGGAAAAATATATGGTGTAACTAAACACTTACCAATGTTATCGGTTGATTTATGTTTATCAAATCACAAAATGTTATGTACATTTTCCTAAGATTTATTAAGTTAATGTATTAAATATAAAATATTTGAATAATAATATCATTGTTTAATGCAAGTAGCCATCATCATTGAATACATCTGCCATTATACATATTTGATATAAACAACATGATAACAGACAAATTTATTTCCAGTACTGTTAGGAAGGTTAATTCACAGTATTGTTGACAATCACAACCAAGCTAAAAATAAACGTACAACAATCTGACTGTTCTATTTTATAACTGTAATTTATAAATTGATTTTCATAAAAATAACTTCTCTAGTTTTTTTCCTTTTATTGCTTTTCTTATTGATTTATATATTTCAAAAGGGTCCATTTGTTGCTGCGTTCGCTCAAGCTAATGAAGGTGATGTTTCACCAAATACTGCTGGTCCACGTTGTATTGACACTGGTTTACCATGTGATTTTGTGCATAGTAGTTGTGGTGGTCGTGTAAGCCAATCAATAATAAACAAGAATTATGATTAATTTAATTTAGGCACAAAATTGTATTGCATACGGTCCTGGTTCAGATATGTTTGAAAGTACAAAACTAATTGCATACAAGCAATTTGAAAAAGCATGGGTTTGTTAAAATAATTACTTTCTATGTTTTACCGTATTCTTTCCTTCGTTCAGTTATTGTTTAATAATGCTACTACTGAGATAAATGGACCTGTTAACTTTATTCATCAATTTATTGACATGACAAATATAAGTTTAAATTATAAAGTAAGCTGTCGATCTTATAGTAATTTTAACATATTTAATCAATTCAAAGAATTATTCAGGTCATACATGTGAACCAGCCATGGGTTTTAGTTTTGCTGCTGGTACAACTGATGGTCCAGGAGATTTTGATTTTATTCAAGTATCTCTGATATACTTATAATTTAAAAATCTTTTACTAACTGTTTCAAAAGGTATTACACATGGTAGTTTATTTTGGCGGATTATTCGAAATTTTATTAAAACACCAAGTGAAAAATTGATTAAGTGTCAAGCTCCAAAACCCATTCTTCTTGCTACCGGTGAAGTAAGTGAACTGTTTGTGAAATCTTATATTACTTACTTCCTTACGCCTGTTACTCATCGTGAAGGTGCAAAGGCCACCCATCGGCATTCTCCATACGACACTGTCCTTTTCAGTTGTTTCTAGTTTCCATTCACTCTTCAGATATCTGATTTCGATTCCTAGCAAAGTGCGTTATTTAGCCCTCTTCTTCCTCTTCTTCTTCTTCTTCTTCCTCTCCGTTTCCCTTCAGGATTCCGAGTTAGGGCTCACCTCGTGATGCAGTTTGGTGATTTCCGTATTGTATATCCTATCCACTTCCAGCGTCTCTTCCTATTATTAGAAGATAAGAACAAGGCTAAATGTTTGGTTAATTAGTGAAAGTAAGACGCTTTGTAGCGTAGTCTACACAAAATGCTACAAGATTTCTTAACTCATTTTATATTAAGTCGTCAGTATTTGTAAAGAAATTATATTATGTGAATTATAGCAATAAGTTTTTTGCTCTGTCAAGATGAATAAACTGTTGGTTTGAACGCACTTCAGTACTGTTGGAAAAGATTTGAATTGTTTGAATTTATGAAAGTCACTCTAAGGTTGTTGACGTTTCTGACTTATAAGCTTTAATAAAAATAGTAGTAATAATAGTGATAATAATAGTATTAGAATTTCAAAATGCTATCTTGAAATTACTTTTGTCTCTCTCTAAACATCAACATATTAATATACTACATATTAAAATCTGTTTACCCTGTACACTATGTTCTTAGACCTTGTGAAATTTACAATTGAACTTTTTTATTATGCTTTGTAGATGAATACTCCTTATCCTTGGCAACCGTCTATTGTTGAAACTCAAATTGTATCGATTGGATCTCTTTTAATTGTTGCCTTACCTGGTGAATTTACCACAATGTCTGGAAGACGTATTCGTGAAGCAGTGATTGAAGTAATTCTATTTATATATTGATCATATAAACGCACTGTTTATGACGTCAACTTATCGCCTGATTGAATGATTACTTATGAAGTGCACTTAACTTTTAGTGGAGGAAGCTTCTTTATTTTCAAAAAACCAAATTAAATAGCATAATTGAAATCGAATACTTTACACCAATGTTACATTACATATTTAGATTGTGTATAATTCTTTACCTAAAATTTTCGAATTCATTTAGGTGTTAATCAACAAGCGAGTAATTGATAAGTGTTTTCCATGAGAGCATAGTAGTTTGAATTCTAGGATTTATCACGATTTGACCTTACCTAGAGACAAGAAAAAATCGATTGTTGACATTCATAATTCTTTAATCATATTGAACAGAGTTTTTTTATTTATTCATCTTGAATTACAATATGGTTAATGATTAATCCCAGCAATTATTATCGACTCATTAGGCTAGAAATATGATCACCATAATATGTTGCCCACTGATCAACTTACATGTAACAAATAAACTTCCATAAAGAACTGTATAAGCATTTATAACTGGTCAATTACCATGGCTACTGTGTAGCAATTAATATAAAATTATCTCAATGTTAGAATGTAGTGATATTGTACTATCTGAAAATAAATATGATACAGATTTTTAGAATTTATGCTTAGATTTATTTTTTTTTCATTTCGAATGACACAAAGTTCATAACTAAATAATTATCAATCGAATTGTTCATTTATTCTTATGATTTTATTTAGTTATCATAGAAATAACTGTAAACGAACAATGGTACATATTGTGTATTTTTATTTTAAAAAATTTTTTCGTTGATATTCATCACAGAATTTAATCAGTTGATAAATACAGTTAAAAAACTAGGTATCATTGAATAGTTGTTTTGTTTTGTTTGAGTTCTTTAAAACTGTATTCTATTAACAACCCTGCTAAAAGAGATTTTTATGTTGCATGAAGAATTAATTAAAATTGGAAATATGAAGTCCTGACTTTCTAATCTATAAGGCTTAAATGGATCTTAACTTTAATTTTCGGTGCCATCGTGGATTTACCCAGCTGAGAGCTTCCATTCTATGATGAAATATTTATTTAGTGCTCGTTCTTTTTTTTCTCTTAGTGAAACATCAACTGACACTTTGCTTTATTGTGATTTCTATACATAATATAATTTAATAAAGCAAATAAAGTATCAAGTAAATATACCTAAACACTATGATATATTTGTACAGATTAAAAGAAAAATAATCGATCGATTTAAGACAAGTCAATTTTAACCTGAAACTAGTTTTGTTCATTTATGAATTAAAATCGCTTATAGAGTATTTTGATACTATCACAATCGCTCATTATGTTGAAAAACACATTCTGTAACTAAAGACACAATGGTTACCTAACCTTATATAAGTTAAGAAATTTAAAGATATATATAGAAAATTACCTTTTTTAAAAATTGATACAATAAAAATCTTCAAAAAATAAACAACAAAATATGTTAGATATTTTTTGACTATCTAACTGAGTGGATTTGCAAACTACAAAATTAAAACCTTATGCATCCTATTTACTATTCAACTAGTTTTTTTTTTGAGTTATACTTTTTAGATTCTAATTAGTTGGTTAGTTGAATGTAGTCGATAGAAGTTCTTGTTTGACATAGATTCCGTACTAGTTAACATTACACAGCAAAGTTTAATCATAGTATTGAGTAAACTGATGTTATATTTAGGATTCTAGTTCTCGTGGTGGAATATATGGTACTTAACAAAGTTTAAACTACATCCATGACTTTCTCTTGATTGTCTCCAATTAATTGATATTAAATATAATACAACATCCACACTTATTTATATTTTCATTTATTTAGTTGATTTGCTCTAATTTTACAATTTTGACAAAAATCTCATATCAATTTGAATTTATGTTACACTTTACTATTACAATCGATACTGTAATAGGTAATGGTAACTATTATTAATTTAATTAAAAATATATATGAGGACGAATGTGTATCTGTATTATGTGACAGAAAAATTATTATAATTATTCGTAATTAATATCTGACAGGTTAACTCGTGACACATATATTTATAGGTGAATAAATAATTTAACTAATTTTTTATAGTTTGATAATATAAAGTATGAGAAAACTATCCATCATTTCTACGATAACATCATGTTTATTATAAACCAGCACTCTTGCAACTACAACGAACATTTGAATTTCCTATAGACAAAAAACCAATTACCTACAAATATTTGTGAGAACTTTTGATTAACTTTGTACGAATAGTTTCACAATATTTGGCGCCGAGTTGGTGTAAGAAATCAAGGAGGAAGAGTGTATTTGTAAAATGTTGGTTCTAAAACCCCACACCTTACTTTATCCAACGGATTCCCATCTCCACTTGTAAGGTCCTAACAAGGACGGAGCTAACACGAAAAGTACTCACAAAAAGGTCGTCTGTGATCGATCTCAAGCAGTTGTCCCTTGGGCACTGCGGTCATGCTCTCAGGTCACTGAGACCACCTCTTACCCAGTTTCCTTTTCAGGTACCTCCAGGAAAACCCTTCCATGATGTGGGCAACCTGCAAGTAATAACCGCCCTCATAACTCTAACGGCACTCAAGACCACTGTATTCATAATCAACCTCCCTTCTCAATTCCTATTATTCCTCCTACATCGACCTTCAACACTAAACTTCCTCTCGTGGCTTCCTCTCCAAGTGTCACCATGGCCAACGATTCTATTGCGCAAAACACCGTCCCAAGTCTACTGAAACCTCGTTCCAAACTACGCATTGGAGCCTTCAACGTTTGCTCCCTATGTCAAATCGGTCAGCAAACCTACTTGACTGAGACTCTGGAAACTGGTACAATTGATGTATGCTGTGTCTCCGAAACGCGCATACAGGATTTTAGTGTGGTCATCCACTTGACCTCACCTCGCCAAAACGGAAAGCCGACGAGATACACTATCCGTGTATCTGGTCAACCGATGGCTCGTTCTCGTGAACTGGCAGGTGTAGTCATAGTGCTATGTATGAGGGCAGAACAAACACTATTAGAGTGGATCCCCGTTAACAGTCGTCTATGTGTTGTTCGGCTAAACGGCTTCGTAAGAACTCGGAAGGATAGGGACAAACGTCGTTTATTCGTTGTTTCTGCCCTGGTAAGTAGCTTAAACCAGACGGAAAGAGATTTAGGTGGGTATTTTAGTATTTCGGCTCAGCGAACAGATAATGATGATCGTCTGCCGCAACTGCTCAGACAACCGTTTGTTTTTAGCAAACACTAATCTCAAGCATAAGGAGAGACATCGTCTAATATGGCGACCGCCTGCATCAAACCAACGATTTGTTCAAATAGGCCGTATTGCCATCAGTCATTTTTGGAGAGGGTCGATAGAAGATTGTAGCTGGTTCTGGAACATCTGCTTGGACTCCAACCATGCTCTAATACGGGCATACATCTGCTTACGCGTTCGACTACTTCACTCCCTATCCTTAGTTCAGGTGTTGACGCAGACCAGTCCTGAAGCCACAACTTGCATTTAGAGGGAGAGAAGCGCATTCAAAACATCCTGGCATTCTTGCTCAGTGTTATCAAAAGACTGCATTTTATCAGTATCTTCACCAAACAGGACTATATCATCTGCGTATTCTAAGTCGATAAGTAGACCTCCTGGTGGGGGGAGATCAATACCCGAGAATTCAGTCGACGAGAATGTTATTTCCATCAGTAGGTCTATGATGAAGTCAAACAAAAATGGCGAAAGTGGACAGCCTTGACGGACACCAATTGAGGTTGCAAAAGTAGATGACAGTTCGCCATAAGCTCTGACTCGACTGGTAGTGTTCGACTAAAAAGCCTTCACTGGGTTTATGCAATTCTGAGGTATGCCTGAACATCGATTACCACGACGTGCAATGCTGACTAGTTTTGGTGATTGCTGGAAGAAAGTTAGGGCGGCCAAACCAAAGCACGGCATCAGTTCTTGAAGTCACTAACTTTGAGTCTTATCCATTTAGGTAGTTGGAGCCAGCGTGACTATCCTATGGTTGGATACTTTAGGTGACATGGCTCTGAATCGACCACTATGGCGTCGGTGTATACACTTTTTGTCTTCTTTTAAACTATGAGATTAAAATCGCTTCATATCTTTCTTTCTACAAATTATTTCTATCTTCCCGGACTATGTCCTTTTATGCAATCTTTCTTCTATATTAGCGCTATTGAATTAACTACTTCTATGAATCCGGTGTTCATCTCGTTGTGCTAATGCGGTATGGCAAGTTGTACCGATGCATATATGTGCTTAGTCGTACGTTGTAGCTGACTGAAAAGTAAAACGTTGGATTGCTTCAAACTCATTCTCTGTGAATATACAAATACATTCTACTTACAAAGATTATCTCATCATTTTACAATGTCATTTATTATTATCATATTTATTACTACTAATGATAATGTTACATATTATATATGTGGAGTACATTGGTATCAAGTGTATTCAATTTCAATTATAGATTTTTTCTTAAAAGTTTCATTTTTTTATTAAATTACTCCCAAATCTTCCTAAACGATTTATCAATGAATAACACGAAATTTGAGTTGCTAGAATCTAATTAAATAATAATTTATATAACTTCCATATCAAGTAAAACCAGTATGCGTTATTTTGATCTATGCATTTAAGATAAGAGGTATTAATGTTACTGGGTTATTTCAGCTAAAATAGACGGTAATGTGCTCGAAGTTGTAACCAACTGTTAAGAAACCAAGTGTTCTAATTACTAACTTGTCGCTTTCGAGTTTTGTATCTTCTCGTATATTCTCTGGTACCAACATATTTTTGCATAATCTTCTTTATATTAAAAGTAACCTTACTATTAGATTATACCTCGAGTTTCTCAAAATCTTCTACTTAGAATTTTCTATGTAAGAGAGATAAAACATTACTTAGTTATGGCACTTAAAAAATACATTATAGAACAATTATGATTGGATAATGGAACTGTTAAAGACCACTAATGACAACCTTATATTCTAATGTTGATATTCATAATTACCTTTGAAATCATCATTTATTACTTCAAATAGAAACACCTTATTTTTAGGCTGTTGATTTCTGATAGCCAATAATATGTTCAACTGAGATAATATTTATGATTTGTGAATGATTTTATTTTCATATTGTTAAGATTCAATCCACGATTTTGCTGATAACTACAATACTATGAAAAAGGCTATATCGAATCATTTGAGGATGTGCACAGGCCACTGGTTAGAGTTCAACCCCAAAAATCTATGATAGGATAAAACTAATGTTCCTAATTTCGGATAGAGTATACATATTATTCACGTTATTCAATTAATATTTATTCATTTTGTTATTCGGTTTATTTGTTTTGAATCTATCACTGTGTGTAAAACTGATTCCATATATATATTTTAGAAATACGAACTGACCTAAGTTAGGCAATCATTGAAAATCTGGAAGTACCAGATGGCTGTTTTGTCCTGGTATCGGATTCCTCAGCAGTGTGCGTTGATAACCCTGTGTCCAGGTGGTAAACCCATAATGTTCGATCTTGCATGCAGACGCATAACCCCTAGACCACGTAATTAGCCTCTATTGGTGTTGAAGTCTTACTTCAATCAACCTTCGGTATTACATAACCATTTCACTTCAGTGGTTGTAAAATGTCGTTACCTTAAGTTAAACTACAGTGGATATGTGTTTTTCTTATCATAACGTTCTAACCGTTTTGGTTGATTTAGTTGGAAAGATAAATTCATGATAATCTGTAATAACGGTGTCATAATATTTATCAACCCCTAGGTTTATATTGCTTTTTGATTGCATCTTTCTAGTTGCATGTATAATTGTACGCGTACATTGTCGAGTATCAACAATATTTAAGAATGAATAGACTTTGATCGTCTTAATAAGTGCGAATTATATTCACTTACTTTTTATAGACTTATAAAACAAGTACTCATTTAGTGATATATTTACTTTATTTTCTTATATGAACCTATGTCAATAAATGTATTTAATTAATTTTTATTAAATCAATTAACAACTAGTAAGTAAATATTACTAAAAACAGTAAAACAATCGTCAATATGGTATCATAAAAAATAACTTTACGAAAACAAATACAGACAAGTAATTTAATATGAATAAATACTAAAAAGTAAATATTATGTTTGCATGATGGAAATATTTTTGTCATTTAAGTATACATTAATAGTTGTTAGTGATTATTGTAAGCAGATATTTCAAAGGGGAGTACTTGCTCGAGAGAATGATAAATGCACTACATAAAAGTTTATCAATGATTAACTCAAGGATTGTTTAATACTGAATCTAGTAATTATTAAATTCCCAGTGAAATCTCGTGATCAGCGGAGTTAATTCATGCTCGGAATATAAAGACAATTACTAAAAGTGTCAATGAACGATAATAGCTCATCATAAAGAGCTGACTGAGATAAGTAATATAAACCATTCAATGTTAACTACATATTTCGAATGTAACTCAGCCGTTGTTCTGAGTTTGATTCCTGATGTGATCTTTAGTGAATTCTATTATGAAGTATCCTACTAAGATGAAATAGTAATGAAGTGGTCCTTCATTTTTGTTGGTTCTTCACATGATGATTTGTAACGAAAATTTCACAAATCGATCAATCGCCATATAACTTGTCGTCCTACAATCAACACAACTAATTAATGCATTTTATTATTTATTTATTTAAACACATAAGCATTGGTACCAGGAGGCACCAAATATATATGCCCCACATAAATCACATGATTTGTATCGGATATTGCCCAGGCGTCCAAACCGAAGCAGGTGGATTTTTTTGGGGAGCCATTCACTTAGCCTTTGACCTAAAGGTTTAATCCACAAGACAGTGAAACAACATTAAGAGATGCAGTCCCATAGGAATTTCAAAAATTAATGATAAGTTAATAAAATCATGATTAAAAAAATTTGGTGAATGTTTAACAATATAGAGCTTTTATTAATTTGGTTTTTTCGGATTTGAGATTAATCATATTGAAATTGTTTCTATAAACTTGAAAATGTGACTAATTTCAATAAACTAGGGAAATTTTTTTTCAATTTAATACAGTGATTTTCAAAAAGTCTTATTTATATGGCTGAGTGTATAGACTTGAAATTTATCAAATAGATGTAGGTTGTGGATTTACGTTTGTAACTGGACGATGGAAATTATGCTTATTCGTTTAGTTGGTAGTATTTACTTCACCTATATTTTGTAACGAAATAAAGGACTAAATATTTTGAAACAGTCCTAATACTTTACGGCTAATGTTATGTCGTTGTCAAAGAACACGTTTTCTAAAAAGTAAACTCATGATCAGGCAATGAAGTAGAACAAACGGTGAGACTATAATTTATGGACGACTGAGCGACTCTAAGACCTTGAGAGTGTCCACCTACATACTACGGCTAAATGAAGGTTATAAACCAGCATGAAGAATTAGGATTAATATTTACAGTTGATGTTTAGGGTTAGGAATCACATATAGGGTTTACATCACGAACTGACATCAGTTATAATGCCAAAACTCTATTTAACCAAATGGATAGGTGAATTTCGCGCCAAAATTCAAGATCTGTTATCGTAAATCTGATTGGTTGGTCCATAAACTATAGTCTCGCCGTTATATTTCTAGGTGATGTATTTGCAGTTTAAAATACGAATCTCATGATTGCTGACTACTGTGTAGTGGATGTTGCCTTGAAACACTGCAATGCCCACTTGTTTTAACTGCGGAAAAAGAGTCTGTTTATTGTTGTATATCTGAAAAAAGACAGCAATTATTTGACATAAGGAACAAGGACAAGACTATAGATAAATATTTTAGTATGGATTCTTAATAAATCTATAACTGATCCAACCAGTGATGGACAACTAAATCTAAATACTTGAATTATAGACCAGTAGTTAAATTTGAAAACAATGAACTAAACAGTAGTAGTTGACATAAATAATCACTGAATAAATCCTTGTAAACAGTTTACAATTACTTATAATTTTAGCTGAGTTAACTAATAATACAAACAAAATTCTGAGTTACATTTGTACTCCTTCCTAATACCTTTTATATTTTACAACATTGAATAATAACGATAGGATGTACAAAAAACCAAATATTTACAAATAGGTATACTTTTCCCATGTTCATCTTATAAATTTTTTAAGAATAAAACAGTTGATCAACGTTTAAATTGTTTCTAAAACATAAGGTCTGATTGTTGCCATATGTAATACGGTACATTGATATCTTAATTTAATAAAATCATCATCTCTATTTGAAAAAGATCTGCCTATTTCATAAACAAAATAACATAGTTTAAATGGTATGAAGTTTCTCGCAATACTTTCATTCAACTGTTTTCGTACATATTGAGAAGTTCAGATTTTTATTGGTGTAGTTGGTTGCTTTTCTTCGTGTTGGTGATGATTTAATACATTTAACATCTTTTATACTACATTAACAGAGGTTGTATTTTGAAATAATCTGACACAATAACTATAAGTTGCTGTCAATAATTCTCGAGAAACATTCAAAATAGTCTAATACAGATGTAATAGGTCAACTTAAGATTATCTAAGTTTTAGAGATTGATGGTGTGAAATTTTGTTATTCTAAATGTAGACTGTTCCTTTGTATGAATAAGTATCAAGTGGATACAGTGTTGGTGACAATTACTCATTTACATATTGACTAACTATTCTCAAATAAAAATTCGTGGTCTTGGTTCTACTTCTAGTCACATACTACGTACACTAAAACTATTGACTAACATTTAAAATTATTATTTATTCACTTATGTTAGATTTGTACCAATTTCCTGAATGTTAATTTTCTACTGTTATTTACGAAATCTTTTTCATTTAGACCTTTTTGAATGATGAGATTATTGTACTAGGAGTGATAGATATAATTGCAGCATCATCAGGAATTATCACATTGTTCTGCTGTATATATACATCAACCTCTTCGTTATTGTTCTCTTTTTCTTTTGCGCTCCTTAGTTTTTTTTTCTATTTCTCCTCGAATTCTCATTGTTTTGTGTGGCGCATATATATTGGCGCTCTCCTGTACCAATATTCATGTGTTCAAATAATAATAATAATAATATGCTGCTGTAAATAATACCGCATATTTTAAATTAAGATGTTTATGGATTTCTTTTCCATGTCTTCGTTGCATTATCATACATTATAAACTGTAAAACTCGTTATTAAAATGTAAATGCTGAGAATTACATCAAATAGTGATTGTTGTAATATAAGCAAATACTTTCTTATAGTACACTAGTTTTGTAGCTCATATATTAAACTTTGACTAACTCTTAAATGCTATAACTCTGAACACAGTAATGTTGAGTTATATGACGCAAAATCGGTCACAGTGACTTAAAAACAAGCATTCACGTCATTCATTAATTTAAATCTTGAGTTTAAGTATTCTTTTTTTGCGAACCTTGTTATTTTATCTTTCAGTTACTAAATTATTTCCACTCCTTTTCTACTTATCTTTTTAATTTCATCTCAAGTAATTATGGGGTAATGCATGTTTGTGTTAGTCTTTAAGTTGTTTATAATTGACCGTTATATGTTATTAAATAAATGACTAACTTAATCGTTATTTTTCATACACATAGTTCCCTTTATTATTTTAAAGAGAGTTGTTGATAGAAAACTTAGTCAAGGCTTATCGTGTTAGCAATATGCTCATCTTTTTTTGAACTTTCAGATTTATATGGATATTATACTAGTAACTTTAAATCGCTTCTTTCTTTTTTTGACTGGATTCCCATTTAGGCTGCTAATAATGCTTCTAAACAGAATGATCCAAGTTCAACTACACAATATGAAGTAATTCTTTCTGGTCTGTCAAATGTTTACTCAAGTTATATTGCAACTCCTGAAGAATATCAAGTAATAATAATTCACTAATTTGCTATGAATCAACTGTTCAATATTTTATGTCTTTCTACTTTTATATTATTTATTTTAATCTAAGACTGCTTTGAAAGATTATATTAAACAATAAATTGTCACTATTTTTTTTAACATTATTAGAATGGGGGATTGTGGAAATTGTAGTACTTTTATTAGTTGAATTCATGATTCGATGTAGGCCAGACCACCAGTAAAAATCTGGAAGCACTAGACGGCTGTTTCGTCCTAGCACGGGACTCATCGGCAGTGAGCGTCTAGAATCCTGTACGCGGGATTTGAAACGAGGACCTTCGATCTTGCGCGTGAACACTTAACCTGTAGATGACTGAGCAAGTATCCAACGCTGTTATTGTCTAACTTCAGTTGATCCGTGATCTTGCGTAACCCTTCATCTATTGTCTGTGGTAGATAACTGTCTTCACCCGACACGGATTGGACTCCATTGGTCACAGCTTCAATGGTGGTCTACCTTACATCAACTCATGAATTTAACTATTGACAGATCATTTTTAGTGTTTATGTAATGAGTAATGTTCACTTGTTAGTAGGTTTATATGTAGTAGTTGTTCTTATTTTTTTTGGAAAGAGGACGTAGAAAAGCACTTTTTTAGGTATCCAAAAGAGATAATTATCATTTAAAAAAAATCATAAATGGACAAATTAGTAACTGAAATAAATTCATAACAGTTTACAATGAAATAGTATGAATTGATCACAATCTGTAAATTGTAAATTGAGATAACAAAAACGGTGTTAATTTCCTAAATAATCATAAAGTTATTATTTCAATTTACTTCAATACACTTATGTATAAATTATTTAACAAAATATTAAACTATATTACTTTCTATTACAATATAGAATTCTTTAAAATAAGTTAAAAATGTTCAAGTATAAATATTGTATAGATAAACAAATTTTAAATGAAAATAAACACCATTTTACGATAATTTGACAAAACGGAAATTAATATCAGTTGAGATCATGATTCAATTAAAGCTAGACCACCATAGGAAACCTGTAAGCACTGAACGGCCGTTTCGTCCTATTCTGGGACTCCTCAATAGTGCTCATCCACAATCTTACATCACGGGACTTGAACCCAAGACGTATCAGTCTCGCGCCAGGCGCTTAACCAACTAGACCACTGGGCCGGCATCCATTGGTGTTAATATCTAACTTTAACCAATTCACGGAATTGAGCGATACATCCACCATTTTCTTCAGTGAGTTACTATCTCACAACAGACCCGGTTGAACTCCACTGGTCACTACTTCTCGCTAGAACTTCAGGAAATGCCTCTTGAAGCCAGTGGGTGCACATCACTAAGGAGTCTCACAATAGTACGAAACGACCGTCTAGTGCTTCCAGGTTTTCCATCGTGGTCTAGCTTCAATTGACTCATGATCTCAACCATTGAAAAGGAAAATTGTTCATTTGTTTTCTTTGTATACATTTTTTGAAATTATAATTACATATTTGTCTAACTAATTTGAAGAAATATGAATATATAATAAACGGATAAGTTTTCTCATTCAATGTAACCTTTATCGAAGTTTGAAATCATGAGTAAACTCTTTTAAGAATATTATATATAATTTAAACAAAAGTATTGATCATTATTCATTTGTTTTTACGGAGAAAATTTAATTTAATTTTGTTAATTTAATTCTGCGTACTTCAAACTTTTTGACAAAATATTTCTTTATTTAAAAAAATTTTCATGTGATAATTGTGAGAGAGATTAAGAGAGAGTCAATAATGTTAGTGAATTTCTCTTATATTAAACAATAATGAAAATTTAGTTCTTTTAAATAGGGTTTATTGTATTGTTTTTAATTTTTGAACATAATTATTAATTATTAAACCTAAATACCATCTAGCAGTGCATCCTAAGATGCGGACTTAATACCACTTGAAATTCGTCAACCTGTTATTCCTGCTTATCAGTGTTGATTTTTATATCGGGATCCAAAAGCAGTTCATTTATCAAATTTCAATGCGTTATGCATCGATTTACAGTGACTGATAGCCATCAGTTATTGAAATAAGTGTAGACTTTTTTTGTGATAGTTCAAATTTTCGATTTATCAGTGTAGTTGATCAGTGGCATGTGCTGGGTTTGCTTCTCAGTGTGAATATTAACATCTAACCGACAATTCCCAAATAAGATGAAAGCTGAGTTTTGAATATTATTTTCAGATGCAAATCCTATTTTATCTAAAACTAGTGAATAAGCTACAATATCTTGATTATATCCTCAGGATTTATACATTTCAGCAGAGACTAGTTACATACAATCCTTCAGATCAACAGCAGGAAAATACAAACGTTTAAAAAATTATTATCTTCAGTTTTATCTGTCCTAAGGCTTCGTAAATCAAATGAGCTAATAACTGTTGCTTTATTCAGCTTAACTTAATAATAAGACTAAATGATAGCATATTGTTATGGCTAATTTTTTTGACAATGTATCCTTTAGATTGGTAAAACTGTCATCATCATCATTTGGACTGATCAACCATTAATAGAAGTTAATATTACTTTCGTCTTGATGCTTGTTGTTTATTAAACTATCGATTAAACTGCTCGCTTGTCTAAATGAATAATTAATTAAAGAAACTCTAATGACTTCGATATGTGATTGAATCAAAACAGAAGCAAAGTTCGTTTAAGATTTCAAATATATTTTGCTGAAAAGTTCGAACTAACACGAAATTCAATGTTAAACAGAGATCATTGCTAACACTGAAATGATAACTATGAATAACTTATCCAATCACTTTGATTCTCTACTTCTTTGCTTTGAATTACAGCTTCAACGATATGAAGGTGCATCTACTATTTACGGTCCACTTACACTTCCTGCTTATGTTAATCAATTCAGCTTTTTAGCAGAAGCATTAGTTAAAGTATGTTTTAACCGATTCATTACAGTGATTATTATTAGTCATGACTTTTTTTAATGCGTTTAAAATATACGGGAAAAACTATGTTATTCAGTCTACTGAAAAATTTAATACTTTCATACACAAACCAAGATGTTAGCTTTCATTAATTTATTTGTCTAGAAAAAGGTTTTCAATATTTGTTACGTAATTTATTATGTTATGTGTTCTTATTTTATTTGAAACAAATTTCACTCATCTGTTTCCGGAAGCTTTCATAATTAGAACTGTTATAAATTGTCAATTGATTGCTACTTGTTATATCTGGTCGTCGCTGATTGTTATGTCGGAAACGCTTATCACATATTCGGAACAAGGGACCTCCACAATTCCCACGACGCGAAAGTAAAAACACAAAGATTGGTATAAGTGAAGATTTATTAACCCCAAAACACGACCACCACAACGACCCCAGTCGAAAATACACTCATCTATATATTGATTGTACGCACACTTTGATTATTAATTAGGATGAAATCGCATATATAAAAATTTTAAGAGTTATGACAAATCACAGACTGAGCATAGTTCATGTCAATTGAATGCAAGAATATCGTATATTATACAGAATAAAATATCATACGAAAAAACAAAACAACAACTAGGTTGAATAATCATCACATCAAATCAAAACGGAAGTAATGTTGAACAAAACTCAAAATAAGTAAAGCAATCAAATTTTGACATCTTTCAATCATTTCAGGAACACTCAAGAATCAAGTGAAATGTACCATTTATAAATTTCTGAGTTTTAAATAACCTTACTAGTAAATTTTTGATTTATTTGAGGCAGGTTTTGTGGAGATTTGTAAGTAATTATTTGAAATACCATTGAAAACCAGTAAGGACTGATGAATTATGTAAACATCCGCTACTGTACACGCGTACTCCACTGAAGATCGAATATATGACCCTCGGGTATTGCTTCGAAAATATGAAGGTCAGAACAACTGATCCATTATCGTGTAGTACAATTTCAACTTCAATCGTTGTGTCAGTTTTACTCCAACTAAATTCATTTTATGACTTATCCTACCTGAAAAAATATCTGATTTATTGTACATGAAATGCTATTTTGACAAACTGGACAGCTTTTCGATTATTGACAATACAAATACAATTCTCCTTCATCCTTCTTGATTAATAAAGATTCCGTATGCAGTCATTAAAATCTTTCCTTCGAAATCATAGTTATTTCATTGTTTGCAAATTATTATTTATTGGACTAATTGATTTTTGTACATAGAAGTTCAGTGGAAAGAAATTTATATGAATGTGGACTTTAGTTGTTATGGAATATTTGGAAGCTCTCAATTTAAGCTATCGATTTATTGTTGTAAATAAACCGTTCATCTTTATAAAACACAGTACAAAAAAAGTGTTTCGAAGTTAATTACTTTACACCGTAAAAACATTTTAACCTATAACTTGTATTAATAAATAATTCATAACTGATAACCAATAAAAATTGATCACACAAACTAATCAGCTCATTACACCATAAGTTGATATAATTTATAAGTTATGAGGTAAATAGGACTTTGATTCAGAAATCGAATAATCCAGATTGAAGTGCAAATTATGAAAACTCCCTGAAAAGTGATTACTTTCATGTATATAATTCTTTCCGAGATTAAGTAAGTTTTTATCGTACTTTGATTAGACTGTGGAGATAGGCACGACAAAACTATTTTATAAATAGTTTTTGATATTATTCTCATTTATTTTGTTAATTCTCATAGTTTGTACATTTACACAAATGATTGTAAAAGTTGTTTAACTGCATGACCTTGAACTCACACTCTCCTCCGTTTTGAACAGCTTATAGCATGACACACTCTGCTAACCGCTCATAAATACTTTGCTACATACACGTCTCTCGTTCTTAACTGCCTGTGATTATGATAATCAAACTATGAAAGTATCTATTATCTGTATTTGCAGACTACAACCGTATTTCCATTATATGCTACATCTGTGCTATATCACTTGAATTACAACAACCTCATTGGAATTATTAATTAACTATAATTGTGGATTATGGAACCAACAGCAGCTTGAACACACCAAAGCCTGCTGACTTAAGTAACGTCCCATAACTTTTCTTTGTGTTCATAAATTATAATCGATATAATATAACATTAACTTTTGAACGTAATAACTTGATTGCCAATTTTGAGCTAATATAATTTTCGGTCCACCACAGTTATCTGGTGAGCCCGACGTGATAATTGTGGTGGCGTGTTCGAGCTGCTTTTGGTTCCATAATCCACAATTATAGTTAATTAATAATTCCAATGAGGTTGTTGTAATTCAAGTGATATAGCACAGATGTAGCATATAATGGAAATACGGTTGTAGTCTGCAAATACAGATAATAGATACTTTCATAGTTTGATTATCATAATCACAGGCAGTTAAGAACGAGAGACGTGTATGTAGCAAAGTATTTATGAGCGGTTAGCAGAGTGTGTCATGCTATAAGCTGTTCAAAACGGAGGAGAGTGTGAGTTCAAGGTCATGCAGTTAAACAACTTTTACAATCATTTGTGTAAATGTACAAACTATGAGAATTAACAAAATAAATGAGAATAATATCAAAAACTATTTATAAAATAGTTTTGTCGTGCCTATCTCCACAGTCTAATCAAAAATAGACTTAAAAGTTTTACAGCTTGGATCAACTCGTGAATTCAGTTGGAAATATACTATAATCACCATTTGATTTTATAGTTGAAATGAACTTGGAAAATGACTTGTCATCGTGTGATATTATTAGTAATATGGGTTAAATAGTGTATTTTCAATTGAATCACTTCCTTTTTCTGTAAGACATGATTTATAATTGTGAACAAATTACAATTCTGAAATATTAATTTACTACGTTCTCACATATAATTTAAGTTTCGGTTAAAATTTTTCTATTACAGTGTTCCCAAACAAAAACGGAACAAACACAGTCTTTAATAAAAATTATGGAAAAATATATTATTTTACAAATGAATTCATGCTAATTGAACGTGCAAATAAAATTGATGTTTAAAGTGATAAGTATTTGTTGAAATATTTCAGTGTGAACATCAGCACAATGATTCACATATATCAAGCTGATAAGTCTTGCAGATGATAAGTCGAACATCCTGGAATTTACTGCTAACCAGAATTTCATTGTGCAAAAAAATTTCTTAAATAATTGTTTTCTTTATCTAATGAGATGAAATACAGATGCCATTAAAACAATAATCTGCTTTGTAAGCCAGTGAAAATGTGTTGTCACTTAAATTTTATTGGTATTTATTGTTCATACGACGCCTTCACTTTGTGATGTGTGCTCCTTATGTTAACAGATATAAGTAGCATATAACATCAATCAGAATTGGAATGCCTGGTAGTAGAAGATTGAATTGAAGGGAATATGAATGTACACAGAGATTAATTTTAATAACAACAAGAATGGAAGAACGACGATGTTTGTAAGAGACAAATGATGGAAAATATGCAAGTATTGTATTTAATATATAGTTTTAAGAAGTCACCTTTTAGTTTTGCATTAAAGTAGTGAGTTAGTTTTCGTCACCTAAGTCTTCGTTTACTACAAAATAAAAATAAATTGTAAAAATCTCTGTTCTGTCAATTTTTCATTAAAAATTGTTACTTAATAAAATGCATTAAAGTGACTGATAATTGACAATTTGGAGTAGATGAACAGATAGATAGGATTAAATTTTAAAATTCAATCAAAAACGATATAAAATTGACGGAATCACTGGCAAAGAGAAAACATCTTGCTTTTGTTTGTACAATGAAAGTTTTTGCTCACATACAGTGAAAGTAAAATCCCCTGCAATGATAAATTATTAAGAATAATTAAGGATGAAAATATCAAGTTATTAAAACGTCAATAAATAAATATATCTAACCAACTATTTTCATAGGCTGATTCAACGAATTGAATGACATTCACTCTTATTTTCTTTCGATTTATAGTACTGCGTAATAGTTGTAGACTACGGACAACTATCACTAAACCAACAATCCATGTAAACCTGTTTCATCTTCGTATATGAGTCTCATACTATGATAAAATAGTTTGTCAAGTACTTCCTAATCTTCAACAGTTGTTTTATTAAGATCAGTCGGTGAAATAAAGCGTATAATTTCAACAAATTGCACAAATTATCCTTATTTACGTTGATATTATTGTGAGATTTCACAAGTATTATGTATTCGGTTCTAATTCTTACAGGTATTTTTAAAAAAAATTATATTTTGTTTTTCTAAATACCATTTAGCGACAAAAAGTTTCTCCCGGAACAGTAGCTCCATATTTTTTCAATGAACAATTCAGTTTTGTGCCGAAAATTTTATTTGATACAGCACCATTAGGAAAACCATTTGGTGCTGTAATTAAACAACCAAATTCAACTTACTATAATGTAAGTCTTTTTTTTCCAATAAATGATAAAATGTAAAATCATAATGATGTGATTTTAGCTGTGAGTAAACATAAGAAATAAAAAAACTTTTTTCCTATTTTCAAGAAATATCAAATAAACATTTAGATTTATTGTAATTTTAAATTAAAAAAACAAACATATTTCGATAATGATTAAACTAAACTTAAGTACTACATGATATTAATTCGATTTATACAAAATCTTGTTTGATTATTACGAATCAGAATTTCAGTTTCAACTTCATACTTTCTTTTCATTAACTAACTAGTCGAATAAACCGATAACTTATATCATTATGAATGATAGTTACAGTTTGTATCCATTATGTAAATGCTTTGTTTGTTTTTTTGCGTCATGTCTTTAATAAGTATCATTACCAAGGTTTGAATTGACAATTTCAAATAAATTGAGGATTGGGTAGTTTGTTATTGTTATAACTTGTGCCGCCAATGAGAGAGCAGTGACTTATCGATCGAGTCAATGACGCGTAAACTCGTATGAGCAGTTTAGAGTCCTTATTGGTCCTGCTTCTTGCCTAGCCCAGCTAGTTAAGTCCAGAACACCAATCCGAGCCTCTGCGATATGAATCATCTACTTCAAACATACTCGGTATATATACCAATCAGACAGACCACATCGTACCAATAAATTATGAAAGAACATTTGTAAAAAAATTAGCCAGATATAGCTGTGAATGAGGGAGGTAGTAATTAATATACTGGGTATAACTCAATAATGGTAAAATGTATAATAATAATTTATGGGTCAAAAAAAGCTTATAATAAGAGAAATATAATATGCATAGTTTAGTCACTTAATAATTATACAATAGAAATATACGTTTATTATTGGTCCATAAATGGATCCCAAAAGTTACCATTCATTATTCTTGTCGGGAGATAACAGTTATAAATAAAAAAATTATATATTCGTAATGTCCAAGTGAGTAGAAAAATTATATTTCTGACGCTTCATGACTTCATGTAAGCCACTTCTTCAAAGTACCATTATTTTATTTTACTATTTGAACACATAAATATTGGTACAAGAAGGCACCAAATATATATTCGCCACACAAAACAATGAGAATTTGAGGAGGAGAAGGAAAAAAGGTGAAGAGTGTAAAAAAAGAACAATAACGAACAGATTAGTGGAAGGTAGTGTAATAATAATAATAATAGTAATAATGGGGGAAACGAAAAGGTACAATCAGAAGAAATCTTTCAGTTAAGAAATAAGCAACCACTTTTTATGAAGAAAGTAAAAGAAGGTTACAGCAGGATCGCCACTGGCTTCTATTCTGAGCCATATCTGATAACGTCTCTAGCCACTGTGTAGCACCATCTCTCAGACCCCAACCAGGGAGTCGTGAAGGACCAACAGAAGCCAGTCCTTTGCAGCTTTCTTTCATACCACGACACCATGTCATGCACTGACCACCTCTCCGCTTTTTCCAACCAGTCCCAGAGTCGGCAAATAATGCACGACGTGGAATTCTCTGGGACGACATTCGTAGAACATGTCCAAGCCACCGAAGTCGGTGTTTCAAGATGGTGACACCAATTGAATTATCATCTCTGTGCCCGAACACACGATGCCGAACCTCTGCATTACTGACATGGTGTTGCCACTGAATGTCAGCAATCCTTCGGAGACAGCGATGATCGAACACAGAGAGTCGTCTAACGTCCTCAACTCGGAGAGGCCAGGTTTCACAAGCATAGAGCAAAACTGCTCTCACCGACGCGTTGTAGATCCGACCTTTTACAGCCAGACTAACATCACGAAGGCGCCAAAGGTGGCCCAGATTGGCATAAGCCGCTCTGGCTTTCACTATTCGTGCATTGATCTCATCACTCACACCCCCACCAGCACTTATGCAGCTACCCAGATACACGAACTTCTCAACTACGTCTATCTGCTCACCATCCAGGGTGAGTACAGGATTAGAATCCTGCCAGTCTTGTAGAAGTACTTTGCACTTCGAAGGTGCAAAGCACATACCATACCTACGGACACTGATTGCCAACTGATTAAGTGCGGATTGCATGCCTTGGGCATTATCGCACAGTAAGACAATATCGTCCGCATACTCAAGGTCGAGAAGTCTTTCTCCAGGCAACAGATCCACACCACCATTACTTACATTCATCAGAGCTGTTTCCAGAATGTCATCGATGGCAAAGTTGAAGAGGAATGGTGAGATTGGGCAACCCTGCCTAACCCCACTGCTCGAATGGAACAATGGAGAGAGGTGGTTGTATGCCCTCACTCTGCCTGAGGTGTTTTTATATAGGGCTTTTAGGATGTTAATAAACTTCTCAGGCACACCCTTCTTCAATAGACAATCCCAGAGAACAGTCCTGTCCAACGAATCGAAGGCAGCCCTGATGTCAAGAAACACTACGATTGTTGGCCTTTGATAAGTATGGCGGTGTTCTAACATTTGGCGGAGGGTGAAGATATGATCAATACATCCTCGACCAGAACGAAACCCAGCCTGCTCCTCGCGAGTCAATCTTTCTCGGGTTTTGAACAACCTACGATATGACGGAAGCCAATAGCTTGGACGCAATCGGAAGTAGACTTATCCCCCGATAGTTGTTACAGGAACGACGTGAACCCTTTTTAAAGATAGGGACAACTATCGACTCATTCCATGACGTTGGTACACTCTCTAGTTCCCAAACCTTTGTAAACAACGTCGTCAATTCCTTAGTCAAAAAGTCACCACCATCTTTAAAAAGAGCCGGAGGTAAGTCATCTGGGCCAGGTGATTTGTAACGCTTCAAGAGTTGGAGTTCCTTGCGGACTTCCTCCTCATTTGGTGGATCAGTCGTCACCGGCCATGGAGGGCAGGACAGTCTGACCGATGTTGCCGGAGCAGCAGGCCAGTTGAACTGCCCTTCGAAAAATTCTGCCCATCGTCCAAGACGTCGATGGATGTTAGTGATTGGCATCCCATCATCCTCGCAGATTGTTTCACTCACACCAGACTTCTTGCTGCCAGTGGCTCGGATGAGTTGGAAGAGCTTCCGGTAGTTACCAGATGCAGCTGCTGCTTCCAGCTCATTAGCACGCTTCGACCACCAGGCTTCTCGGTCCTTACGCAAGCTTTGCCCAATTTCCTTACGTAACATCCTTCGTTTATGGTCAAACTCACGGTCACCCGGAGTAGACCGACGGGCTTCAATGAGTTGTAAGGAACCAGAAGAAACCCAGTGCTTAAAGCGGGACGTTTCGCAAACCCACAACTGACTGTTCCCGCCATTTTCATGGCGTCATGCAATTGCAACCAATGCTCATCTATACTTTTCGGTGGAGTGGTAGCTAGCCTAGAGGCTAGCTCGGTTCGATACTTACTTGCAACAGAAGTTGCAACCAGCTTGCTAACATCAATCCGTTGGTGGCGGTCACTTCGTTGTCCACTGAAAAGTAAGGCAAGATTGGCGCAGACCAAGGCATGGTCAGAGTCCAGATAGGTACTCCAAAAGGAGCGGCAGTCTTGTACACAACCACGCCAGCGGTAGCTGATCGCGATGTGATCAATCTGAGTCCAGGCTTGAGATGCAGAGGGAGGACGCCAGGTGGCACATCGGCGATGACTGTGCCGAAAGTTAGTGCTAGCCAGAAACAGGTTGTGGTCTGTGCACAGTTGCAGTAGACGGTCTCCGTTATCTGACCGACTGGTAATGAGGATCCAATCGATTAGTGCTGCCTCAGCTCTAGCGCTCAGTGCGACACTAACGCCAGCAAGACCAGACGAAGATGCCACAGGGTCTCCGGATAAGCGCACGTTAAACAAGCTTTTTGAAGCGACAGATGGAGAGCGAATTTATAGTACTTCGCCAGAGTCTTGAATCCGGGTCTCGGATAGACAACAAACATCGATATTAAGACTTTCCAAAGACATAGCCAACGCTATCTGTTGTCCGACCTGCATAAGTGTGCGAACGTTGAAGGCAGCCAGTTTGAATGATTCACGTGGTTTCAGAAAAACTGCTTCAGTACTCATATTCAGTGGTAACATACAATTTTCAACCGGACAGTGACTCGAGAACGTTTAGATACAGTCGAGTTTCCACCATAGGAGAGCTGCTGTATAAGTCGAAAAATAAGGATACATAAAGCGGGAATAAAAGAGAGTGAATAAATGACGTAGTAAATAATAATAATAATAATAATAATAATAATAATAATAATAATAATAATAATAATAATAATGTGAGTCATTTGATTGTTATTCGGAGCAAGAAGAATATTTTCCATAAATAGACAGTTCATCATTTTTTGTGTGTGGGCTGTGATACTCCCCAGGTGCCCAGACCGAAGTAGGTGGTTTTCTTAGGGGGCCACACCTTGAGCCTTTGACCTAAAGGTCTAACCCACAAGGCAGCGGAGCATTGTGAGGAGATGCTGTCCCATCGTATCCGGTTATCTTTATTTAAACTTGGGTTAATTTAATTTGTTTGTTTATTCCTTGAAAAATTGGCTTACATTGAGTCACAAAATGTCCAAAAACCTTATTGTTCTACTTATTGGGATATTACAAACATTTTATTTATGACGTCTTTAATAATTTCGTTGTGGCTTTAATTCCGGCTAGTTATCACGTAATTTATTCGCCAATCGAAATACGACTTATTCACTCTTGTACTGTACTAAACCAATGACGTTTGACCGATCTGATCAGCCTAGCGTCCTTATCGGTTTTTGCTCGCATAGCTCGTCCATATTTGTGTATTAATAAGTTTCAGACGTTACTCGTAATTTAATCTTCACTAGGGTATAGCAGTTTTATGCAATTATAAACTGAAATTTTATAAAACAAAGTTATTCTATCATCTTGTTATTATTAACTGAATTTAATACTTTGCCTAAGTAATAGGTAAATTAAAAAAAAACTTTTATTGAGTTATGATAGAAGTTATTACTTGATTACTTATTTTACAAGTCTGAGGCTGTGGTGGTTGTGTTGTGCATGCTCTATGCTTACAACCTGCCTAGTCAACATTACTTTTTTGCTTTCATAATTGGGTAAAGTGAAGTGAGTACTTCTCACTTTTAAGTGTTTTTATATGCTAGTGAATAGTTATCTTAATTGAGTTCATTGTTGCACGTCCAGAAACGTTTTTGCATTAAATTACATTTTGTCTTATTTAAGACATATCGGTTGCAAATACTTATTTCCTAGCGTTGATTTTTTTATACTGAGACTTGATTACACTACATGAAGATTTTAACTGTGATGTGTTTTCTACTAGATCAGTAAATCCTAAACACGAAAAGAAATGTAAATCCCCAGTTACCCTTTTAATCATATTCCATATATACATAAACTTATAAGAAAATCATCATTTTAGAAATAATTCATTGTTGCGATTTATATAACAAATGAAACTGATGAGTTTTAATCTTGATTATTAACAATAAAGAATTTCATATCGTTTAGAAATCTTTATTTTATATTACAATGAATTGATTTTAATACTATAAGTTAATTAAGTAAAATCTTAAGTGTTTACTCAAATATTAAACTCTTTAAAAAGTTACAAATGTTCTTATAAAACATTTTGAAGTAAAAAGTACAAAATGTTCTAATCTTTATTAAAAGATTAACATAGTATACAGATATATATATATATATATATATATATATATATATATATATATATATATATATATAATTACGAATCAATTTAAAGTATTAATATTAATAAGAACATACTAATGTAATCAAATGTGTAATATCTTAATCTCATAGAATGGATGATTGTTTGGATTTAAAATAAATTCCATGAGACGATTTTTGAGTAACGCTAAGATGACCGTGAGAGTGTCCAAACAATAACTAGGATTAGATGACGGTTATAAACCAGTATGAGAGATTAGAATTGTGCTTTACAATTGATGGTTAAAGTTAGGAATTTAGGATTTTCATCACGAACTGACGTCAACTATAATGCCAAAATGCTGTTTAGCCTAGTGAGTGAATGAATTTCTCACTAAAATCCAAGATTCATTATCTTAAATCTGATTGGTTCGTCCATAAATTATAGTCTCACCATGGTGTATATAGATGATATGGTGTAGGCTACTTATATGCACATAAGTAGTATACAACGATAGTCAACAATAGAATATATTTCAGTAGAAGATCGGGAAGGAAAGAAAGAGAACGGAAAGCAATTATTATGAAAATGCAGAAATTATGAAATCTGAGTCGATGAACTGATGTTTGTGAAAAAAAACAGTTAAGTTTGAGATAATAAATTGATATTTTGCAAATTGATGATTTACTATATGATTCACAGATTTTAGTGAGATATTCTTTAATTTTGTGTTCAAACACATTCAGTTGTCCTCACCGTGTGCTCTTGTTCGCTACAATGATACTTATTAGATTTTTCTAAACTATTGAATTATATGAATTATTTCTACTTTTATTCATTAATAAATGTTTTAATTATTTAATAAATTCAATTTAAAAAGTATCTACGACAGTTGAGATCATGAGTCAATTGAAGCTAGACCACCATGGAAAACCTGAAAGCACTGGGAGACCATTTCGTCCTATTGTGGGACTCCTCAGCAGTGCACACCCACGACCCCTCCTCGCGGGATTCGAACCCAGGACCTACCAGTCTCGCGCCAGGCGCTTAACGAACTAGACCACTGAGCCTGCCTCCAACGATCTTAATGTCTAACTTCAACTAATCCACAAAACTGAGCGACATATCTGCCATTGTCATCAGTGAGTTACTATCTCACAACAGACCCGGTTGAACTCCACTGGTCACTACTCACTAGAACTCCAGGATATACCTAGCTTCAATTGACTCATGATCTCAACTGTTGAAATTACTACAATCTCTACAAAACCCTTTCTGATGTTAAAAAGTGTCATTATTTTAACGATTTGTCATTTATTTTTTGTTGTTTATTTTGTTTTATTTTTAATAAATTAGAAAAATGATATTGTTGAAGTACATTTTGTCACTGCTTCACCACGTAATAATGTGCTTTTAAATGGAACATATCTTTCTATTGAATTATATAACAAAACATTAAATAAATGGAATATTCTGTATACAGATGCTAATTGGGAAACAAAGTATGTAGTTCTTTTTATACATCTTTTATCAAGTTTTTTGAATAAACATTTCGTATATGTTTAAAGTACTTTTTTAAAAATCTTATTTCAAGTAAATTATGAAGTAGTAATACTTCGTCATTTGAGATGGTTTGGACATGTGTTACGTATGCCCGAACACCGACTGCCCCGACGTGCGATGTTTTATGGTGTAGGAGTAGGTTGGAAGAAAGCTAGGAGCGGCCAGACCAACCGATGGTTAGGAACACTGAATGACATGGCTCAAAATTGTCCGCAATGGCGCAAGTGCATCTACTTTTTGTGTTCTCCCAAATTCTAATCTTTCGAATTGTTCATGTCCCTTTCTTTTTTCTCTTTCTAAATTTATTTCACTGGATTATACTCCTTGAGTAACATCTTCAAACCCTAATGTTTCCGATTACTGCTTATACTCTTATTACCTCTACCACTACGGGATTTGAATCGACAACTGCATCTCTGTGCTAATGTGGTATGGCAACTCGAGCTAATGTCTGACGTACGAAGTTGTACGTTGTTACTGGCTGACTGACTGATATTGAGTTGGAGGTGCTGTATTATCTAAGCCTAATGGTTTTTTATATTTAATCGAAAAATCTTACCGGTTTCCAATCAAATTTTTTTTGCGATTAACTAAAGAGTAATTTCAAATATGCGTTACAAGAAATAAGAAAAAAATTCATGTTTGCTCAATAATATATGTATACTTGTTTAAAGTATGTTAACATTATGATTTGAATTTAAAGAAACAGTTATTGTAAATCATTTAACTTTGGACACCTATTTTTTAATGACAGAACAGCTCAGTAATGGATGTATTCGATTCTGTCAGAAATTCAACTCATGTACTCCATATTGAACAATTATTATAAATCTTCTGTTTTAGTAGAATGGTGATATTTGTTTTACATCATAACCAGACTTTAGTTAGATATTTTTTGAAAGTCAAAAAGTAATGAGAATTTGTTTATTACTAGTATGAGACCTCTCAGTAGTTCACATATATGACCACACCACGGATTAAGCTCTAAACTCTTGGGCTTCACAGAATGTACTTAATGTCTATATTACCAAGTCAAATGGTATTTATGTCTAACTTCTATAGATTTACGACCGGCGTTCAATATGCTTACCGGTTAACTGCCTCATACTCGATATTACTGGACTGTAAATGTAACAGTCTCCATAAACCCCTTGTACTAATAGTTATAGCATACTAATTATAAAGGTTCCTAATGACAAATATTCAATCATGCTGCATATGAAACAGTTACCAAACACACTGGAATTTAATCGAGCAGAATAGAAAACTTATTAAAGTTAAACATATAAACTATTTAATGCTGACTTGGTGGTATAGATACTAAGTGAATTCTTCAAGCCTCAAGAGTTTCAAGTTCAATCCGTAGTATGGACATGAATATACCGTATTGAAGAGTCTAATACTAGTATTAAACAGCTTTTAACTGCTTTCTGGCTTTTAAAAATTGTTTAACCGAAATTGAAACGTGATATAAAGTATCAAATTCAACAGTCTCCATAAACCCTTCACATAAAGTGTTGGTCAGTTTTGTTTGACAGTGCCTTATACTTACCTATCCTTTTTGTTTAATTCAATAATCAAAGTTAGGTTAGAATATAAATTACATTCTTTCTATTTTTTAACTGTCCTCTTAAAGCATGATCCATTATTTTCTAATTTAAGGAGGTTATATGTGTGGTAACACCTATATATGACATAATCTAAAGTGAAAAATCGAAAGATGACGTCAGTAAATTTAACTTGTTGGTTAGATTATACTTAGTATGATTCTACATACATCTCTATTAGTTTTATTCACATTATAAATGTTATTCTTTACTAAACATAAAGAAACCTCATCTTTCATACTATATGAAATAAATAACCATATTTTATTATAATTAAAAACAAACAGTAGACAATTTTATAAGTCAAAATCCAATTTTAATGAGTTTTTAACTTTGAAATAGTTATTACAATTTAATTTGTTTCAATCTATAAACTACAGATATTTAATCAGAGTAAGCAAATCGCATTGATAGTGATTTGATTAACACGATTATGAGTTAAATATTTATCATATTATTTGGGGTGAGATATGAATTCTAACTAATAAATATCTTAATAGTTGAATTCCTAAGTTGATTTAAGCTAAGCTACCAGTGAAAACCTGGAAGCACTGGACAGCTGTTTCGTCCTAGTATGAGAGTCCTGAGCAGAACTCATCCACAATACCGTAGTTCGGATTCGAATCCAGGACTTTTAATCTCTCATGCAAACGCTTAACTTCTAAGCCACTAAGCTAGCATTCAACGGTGTTAAATACGTATTGATAATTAGTAGCCTGTTATGAATTTAAGTTGTAGGTCGATTTTTACCCTGTGCTAATTGTTGTGTCCTTGACCGGAGAATTAGAGAGCAGCGTACTTATCGGTCGATTCAATGACACGTAAACATGTACGGACAGATAACTTGACAGATAACTTGTTTTTGTTTTTATAAAATTTCTCATTAATATTACACAAAGATCTGTGAATTTTTTTAAGATTATTCAAAAAATTGTTTTACATTATATATTACAATTAATTCAGGGCCTTCTATTGTTTATATTGTTTTTTGGAATCATTTTTGTCATTTCGTTGACATAGAAAAATATAGTTAATTTTTTACGTAAATGCACTTGACCCATAGTCCTACACTAAGTTTTGTTATATTTTTTGGAAGTTCAGTAGTCTGGATGTTTTCTTCGTAATATTTGCAGGATTAATTATTCTATTTAGTGTTGAATTTTTAATTGAAACGTACTTTTTGTCTTTTTATTTTTGGCTACTCACAAGTAGCCAAAATACGTCTTCCACATTTTCTATCATTTGTCGAACTACATCCTCAATATTAGTTGAATTTATGAGCCATGTTTTCTTCAGATGTATGCCAAAATATGTTAACCTGAAATTTTGTATTTGTTTCGTGATGTTTTTAAAGGTGAGTAGACAATACGATACTATTTAGTTAACTGAAGTTTAAGGATTAAAAATGTATTTCCTCCCGTTATTTGTAATACCAAACACTAATGATCTCAAAATGATCGGTTGTATGAAATACTTGCTTTAGAAATGCATGTACCACACTGTAGTACTGAGTAGTTGAAATCGAACTGTAGAAAACCCCTTATTTATTCTACTTGGAAAATTGTCTTTTATATAATAAATTGCCCGATCGAAGCTGCTACCTTGACGCGGTGGTCGGGCTTGCCTATCGTGATGACCCAACCGAGCTATATTGGCTGGAACATATGTTCCTGTAGGTTCTACCATGCCAGGCAGGTCGATTGGTGAACGGTAAGACTAAAAGCAGCAACTCAAGGTCTGAGGGCGAAGTCGTACTGCTGACTGTAGAGGGTGTGACAGCAGTAAGGTGTTTCCCTCGGACAACCAGCATGACAGCGATGCTGCCTTCCCACAAGGAGGGGTGGGGTTAGAAAAGGTCGACCCTAAAAATGTCACACCTCACCTTACCTCACGGATTTCCGTCTCCGGCGGTAAGGCCCTTTGAAGAACGGAGCTAACACGTCAAAAACCTTCCACAAAAAGGCCGTGCGCGACCGGCCTCAAGCAGTTGTCCCTTGGGCTCTGCGGTCACGCTCCCAGGTCGTCAAGACCAACACTAATCCAATTTCCTTTTCAGGTTCCTCAAGAAATACCCTTCCACGGTGTGGGCAGCCGGGAAGTGACATCAGCCCTCATACCCGTAACAGCACAAGAGACCAAGGTGGTCACATTCAAATCCTTCCTACACCTCCTAATACCTCTCTTATCTCCATGACTAACCCTCCTCACGTCTCTTTATCACCTCGCACCGCTAGGGCAAACGATTCGAGTACGTGGAACGCCATTCCTGGTCTCCTGAAACCACGCTCTAAACTACACGTAGGAGCTTTTAACGTACGAACACTTTGCCAAATAGGACAGCAGGCTTCCTTAGCTAAAACTTTAGAATCTCGCGCCATCGATGTGTGCTGCGTCTCCGAAACGCGCATACAGGATCCAAGTAGCGTCATTCATTTGACCTCACCATGCCAAAATAAAGAACCGACTCGATTTACGCTTCGTGTATCTGGAAGCCCTGATTCTGCTTCCCGTGGCCTCGCCGGCGTAGGTATAGCATTGAGTCCTAGGGCAGAACTAGCTCTCTTAGAGTGGATCCCAGTAGACAGTCGTTTGTGCGCTGTCCGACTGAACGGAACAGTAAGAATCCGGAAAGATAGGGACACTCGTCGTTGCCTCTTCGTCGTCTCTGCCTATTCTCCCACTGACTGCAGCTCAGATGATGTAAAAGATGAGTTTTACAGAAAGCTTTCGGACCTTCTCCGAAAAGCTAGCGCTCGGATGTAGTAATAGTGGCCGGTGACTTTAATGCTCAAGTAGGTAAACTAAGCGATAGGGAAAGACACCTAGGTGGATCTTATGGTGTCGTGGCTCAAAGAACAGATAATGGCGACCGTCTGTTGCAGCTATGCTCAGATAACCGCCTGTTCCTTGCAAATACTAACTTTAAGCATAAGGAAAAACATCTTTTAACATGGCGACCCCCTAATTCGTCCCAACGTTGGACCCAAATAGATCACATCGCTATCAGCCACCGATGGAGGGGCTCGATAGAAGACTGTCGCTCATTCTGGAGCACATGCCTAGATTCAGATCATGCTCTAGTGCGAGCGCGTATTTGCTTGCGTCTTACTGGACGTAGGAAAGACGCTGCAAGGAAACCTCTTAGGGCCTACTTAATGATAGTCAAGCTAAGAGTATATTTCAGGAACAACTAGGAAAACAGTTAGGCAGCCATGTATGTGATGCCCACCCCGATGCAGCATGGAATGATATCCGAAAAGCTGTGGAAACAGCAGTGATATCTGCTAGTAAGGTAAACCAGAAGGTTAGGGAGCAACACTGGATCTCAGCAG